AGTTAGAGTGGGAACTAAAAACAACCACAATGCTCTACCACTCTAAGGGTGCTACTCAGAATACTCAAAGCTGGCTACAGAATAAACAACCATCATCCATACACTCGCCCTCGTATAAAACCGGGCCATTCATTTGAACCCAACCAAGCTCCAAGCCCTCACGAGTCCCCCTTGAATCCCCCTTCGAATCCGCTCCCGCTGTCTACCAGCCACTACTGAAACAACTTCGCCATCGCTTTTTTTCAGGGGAACGCAACCCATCCTAGGTACCCAGCAACGCCCACGGCATAGCCGGAAGCCCAGAACCATCCTCCTTCCACCGTTAGATGTAGTACATGGTGTTTCTCAGCTTATCGTGGACAGTCCTGCCCATTGCCGTCGACCGCGTCGACAACTCCCCAGTCTCAGTACGCGCGTCGTCGAACAATTCGTCCTTGTGGATGCGGGCCCGCGTGGCAACTAGGTCGGCATAGTACGCGGGCGGGCAGATGCTGACGGCCTTGGTGGCGCGGCCGTAGGCGTAGCACATGTCGTGCGTGAGCTTCTCCAGAACGTCAGCCGCCTTCGCGCCGAACTTGGACCGGAAGATTTCGTCTAGCAAAACCGTGTAGTGGGCGGGGCGGGCCGTGCCTGTGGGATTGGATCACGTTAGCATGCATGCCGCAGCAAGCCGTTGGTGGCAAATACGACGAAGACTTACCCTGGAGAGACGCGTGGGCCTGGAGGAAAAAGTCCCAGCAGCGGACGTTGGTGACGCCTCGGTCGACGATGGTCCCCTCTTTGGGGCTTTTAGACCTCCCCATATGGCTGGGGTCGGTAGGGTAGAAGCGCGTCTGATGCCGCTTCACCGACACGATGAGAGAAATACGCGGCTGCGAGTTCTTTCCCGCTTTGTACGTCTCCCGGCAGGCCTGGCGGATGTTGGGCAACTCGTCCTTGAGGACCATGTTGAACTGCCCTTCCGATACACCATCACGGAAGATGATGATGTTCTCGGGCAATTGCTTGTTGTTCGAATCCTGCCAGAGCCTGAGACGGTCTTTGAAGTGGCGCACAAACTGGCCGTCATCGTTTTGCCCAACCTTCTCGACCCGGGCCTTGTTCGCCCACGTCACGGCCGGCCACTGGGCGAGGTCCTTGTCAACGCTCGCCACCAATCCGACCAGACTCGGCGCATTTTCGGCTGCCCCGGCGGAAAGATTGGTGGGATGGGTGACGTCGTATCCCACGAACATGGTCTTCGCAACGAGCCCGGTAGTGTCCTGGACCCTGTGGTTGACACCGCCAAACTTCAAGTTGACCTTCAGGCCAACGTTGGCAAAGTATCCCTTCTGGCCTTTCGGGTCCGTAATCTTTTCCTCGCGGCAGCAAACGGTGGGGATGCCAAATAGACAATCGCCGCATTTCTTGATGTTGCTGTAGGTGACAGCGTCCTTGTTCGGAATAAGCACCAGAAGGAAGTCTGGCTGAGGCTTTTGTGTTGAGATCTTTTTAAAGACGTTTTGCAAGCTCTGTTCGTTGCTGGCTGATACGTAGCCGTTTGCCGGAGCTGGCTGGGTGTTCATGGGGACGCCCATGTCGTTGTTCAAGAACCTGGCGAAGTCCAGGACAGCCCTCTTGAGCCGATCCGACGTTCCGTCCCCGATCGTCAGGTACGTCCAGTTGGCAATGCGCCTTCCGGGCTGACAGATCCTGGCCCCCTTCATGAGCCAACCGCCGTCCGTCGGGGCAATATTTCCTTTCAAGTAGCTGATGGGGGGAGGGCGAAGCTCGCGGCCCTCCACTGTGATGAGCTGCTTGTCGACCGTGATGCCAAAGTTTGCCTATCAGCTGTTAGCGGTTGGGCTCACCAGACATCAGCCGACCACGGCCAAAACTCACAAGCAACTCGTTGTTGTCCAGTGCTAGAAGGCTCCTCGCCGATGTCGTGATGGACTGTGCATTGGCCGGCGGCGGTCGGGCATGCAAACTGAATCATGGCATCCCTGATCTGTGGGATTCAGCCTCGACTTTAGGGGCTGAACCGGGGAGCCAGTTCGCCAGTATTCGGCCGGGATGTAAATCGCTTTCTTCGAAAGTTCCGACGTTGATCAACGGGAAGACCCGGGGTTGACATTGACCCTGTATCCTGAGAAGGTTAGAATATGCTCGTCGGCCACAGAGGGTGAAACTTGACAGCTTACTAGCTCTGTAATAATCGTCGACCTTAACCCAACTGTCGTACACGAGACCAGGGGGAGGGGGCTTATCTGAAGGGCGAAGGTAAAATTTGACCGTGGCAGGGCAGCCGAAACGACCCGAGTTGGGTTTGAACATCGGTCTATCCTTTTCTTCCTTGCCGCCGTCCCCAACTCTGGCTAGGCCGGCCGCACCCCTTTCACTCACATACAATTGTCCGTCATCTGCGGGGATCTTGCATCGAATCCGTGTCTTGGAGAGGAGTTTGTGCAACTCCACGAGAGTCTTCGGGTCCCCGCCCCTCGTGTTCAAGTGTGCGACATCGTTCATTCTGAACAAGTCTTCGAGCCGAGTCTCTTTCCGGAACACGCCATGTGTAACGTTGGTGTTGAGCAGTAGGCGGCCGGTCGCTGGGCGAACGCTCTGGACGTAGCCACGTAGGATTTCAATGTAGCTCTTCGGGTTCATCTTTTGCCCGTCTTTCGTAGAGTCGACGGCAAAAAAACGGTTCCGGCCGACGGCGGCGGTCCCCGCGTTTGACCTCGGAGTGTGGCCAAGAACGACGCCGAGTGCATCAATCTCCTCGGGATACTTCGGGAAAACGCCATCGTTGTCCTTCTCGGTCAACTTCAAGTAGTCCATCAAGCCTTGAACGTTGATGGTGGATGGCCCGTCAAAGCGGACGAACCACGTCTCGTCTTTACGGTTGGGCTCGACAAGAGTGACTGGCACGTGGCCGTCTGCCGGAAGTTCGAGCTTCTCCTTCGTGATGAGCTGCTGCTTGTACTCGGTAGCGACCACGGAATTGCGCGGCAGCTGGCCCAGAGCGAGTTCGATGAGCTTGGCCAGCTTGTTGCCCTTGGCCTCCCTTTTTCCATTATTCGCGTCTTCGTTGCCCTCCGCTTTGACCTTCTTTTTCGCGGGCTCACCCTCCTCCTCTGACATCTTTGTGTGAGAGACTCGGAGGTCATACCGGTACAAGTACGCAACCTTGGCGTCCATCTTGAAGTAATTGGCCCAGAGCACAATTCGTTCGCCGTTGGTGCCGAGACCGGGCCGGCCAGGCAATAATGCACGGCCATCAGACGGATCAGAGACGGACAGGGCGGGCATCTTAGACTCTATCTGGCCTTGCTCCTTGATCCATTTGTCCTCCAGATTCGTGACGTTTTTGTCAGGCTGTGGGATCTGTTGGCCGAAACCGCTACACGATATCTGTTAGCATCGTCAACCAACGACTTGGCGTTCGGGGAGGCACTTACAAGACTTCGGGGCCAGAATAGCCGCCACGGCCACCTCGACCGCCCCCACGACCGCCGCCTTGATAACCACCCCCACCTCCACCTCCACGCCCACCACCCTGATAGCCGCCGCCGCCGCCGCCGCCGCCCTGGTAACCACCACCCCCACGACCACCACCACCCTGATAGCCGCCGCCGCCACCTCCACGGCCGCCGCCTTGATAATTATCACCACCCCCACCTCCACGGCCGCCACCGCGATAACCGCCGCCGGCATAATTGCCTTGACCACCACCGCCGCGGAACTCGCCGCCGCCGCCACGGCCACCACCACCGCGGCCGCCGCCGCCACGGCCCCTACCGCCACGGCCACGATTGTCGGACATGGTGAAGAGTAAGCTAGACACCAGCAAAGTAACGCTGTGGAAAGCTTGACCAGGAATGTAGGTGGGAAGATGAAGAAGAGAAAGAGTATGTGAAGCTTGAGTATGGGTGTCTCAAATATGTCTATGTTGGTAAGTCACTGTCGCTGCTGTCGACCCGTGTTTTTGTCTGCAAATGGGTCGGTCGGATTGCAAACGCCAAAATGGTGACAACTGTTGCGGTGAAATGGGTAGCTTGTCAGTAAATGTTATGAGTGAGAAACCGCGCGCCTGAACGACTCCCACGGGCTGAGCGGTGAAAGTCGGTGGTTCGCTGAGAAATGTAGGAGAGGTGGGAGACCAAGCAAAAAATAGAGAAGGGAACCAGGTTCATGTAGCAAGGAAAGAGTAACAGGCGAGATTTGCGAGTAGGGTGTGACAGGAAAGAGCTAAAGGGGGGAGATGGGACGGAGTTGTGTACCTCACTCAGGCCGGGCACATTTGAACAAACGAACCTTCCCTCGGCTTCTCCGTTTGTTCCAACCCCTAAGCAGGTTGTTTGAGTGACCCGAGAAAGCTGCAAGGGAGCACAAGCCCAGGCATGGACCAGCCGCTTTCCAGGCTGGGGAAAGAGGAGAACAATATTATCAGGGGCGCTTGTAAGACGGAAACCTTATCTGACGTGAAGAAGAACAAGGAAAAACAATCATGGATACCAAAGGACAATTCAGTAAGATAAAGGCACCCACAAGTATGGAAGCTAGAACTCGTGATCAAGAAGATGTCATAAATTCAGCCTTGTGGCGTGCACATTATTGCGTGTGGAATGAGTCAGGCATCAATGAGCTGTCCCGCCTGTTGTAATCTGTAGTAGGCCTCACTGCATCGCCAAACGATGGTGGTATAGGTCCACAGACCCAATCCGGGAGTGAGAGGCGAGTGTAATTCCAGGGATAATCGTATGGATTTGTGGTGGAAAACGTGTGATAAACTGTTAGGGGTCAAGGCGTGACACGTCCGAAAAGGAATGCTTCCCACACGGTGAGGTGGGGACAGAGTGGGGACCTTGTTTTCCGCTCATGGCGGAAAGGAACCAGGCACTTGCAAGTTTGTTGGTTCGTCTCAACAAAGCCACAGCCAGCCAGGAAGGCGCAGACTGAAAAAGCAGGTTACGGCAGTGGGCCTCTGGCCGTTCATGGCTTCCTTTTACCGCCCACCAATCTTTAACCTGGTCCGCACCACTGCTGTCCCTGCTACGAAGTTTGCTCTGGATTACGATTACTTTTTCTGCCTTGCTGGCCTCACTTGGCATGCATCGGCAGCATCGCATGGCAACCCCTTTGCTTCCCCGCAGCCCCGGTAGTTTGGGCCACGCCAAGCACGAACCAACACAACACCACCTTCCGGAAGCCACAGATGTCATCATCCAGCCATTGGATGCAGTTAGCTGACGACCGGAGGCTGAAGGCTCTTAACTAGACGCTGCGGACGACGTTCCGTTTGCACAATCCAACACACGGAAGACCCAATTACGGCGGAGCAAAGCCATGAAAGCAAACGGTCTTGCCCAAGCTGGAAGTGCCCCTGATCTGTACATACAGATTAAGCAAACTGCTCTCACCAAGCCTGATGCGAAAAGAGCGACTGTCGAACTTTGTGTTATTGTGTGACTTGGTTGTGGTGTGTCTCAATCCCAGGGAGAGGCCCATGCATGCTTGCTAGGCTTCATCTATGAAGTAGGGTTTAAGCCATTGTGTCTTTCACTGATGAGTCTAAGGAGGAAGTTACTTAGATATCAGCTTTTTTACCATCGATCACCAAGTATGTAAATCCACTAGACTTATCATTGTTCAAGCGCCTTGACAAGCACCGTGCCCACGGCTAATTTGTTAACAAGGCATTTTTGTAGCTCGACACTTTGGTCTCTCAGTGATCCTCACACATGATTATCTGTGCTGAGCTACAATAATATCCCCCCTTGGAACCCTCCAACGCCACAAATTCTTCTCCCCGAGCCCCCTTCCCGCCCCCTCAAGGCCAGCTTCATCTCTATTCCCCTTCCCTCCACCCCACCCACCTCCTTTCTCGTATCAAATCCCACCCCATCCCTTTATTTAATTCACCATTTTCCATCCTCACCCACCCTCCATCTCCCACTCTACCCACCTCCCCCCCTAAGTCGACGGCCGTCCGTCCATCGCCATTGTCAACCCCGTCGCCGTTGCCGGTGAGGCTTTGCCTTGCGTGCCGGCCCGGGGGGGGCGGTCCTACGATGGTGGGGTGTGCGGCTGCTAGCATGGCTAGGGGGGGTTTTGGTTGTAGCGCCGCTTTGGCTTTTTGGTGGGAAGGTGGTGGGGCACCTGCGTCGACAGGCCGGTGCGCGTGGGTTGGAAGAAGGTGTGCTTCTTCCTGTGGCACCTGGAGTTCGACGTGGGCGAACCGACTCCGGCGGTAAAGGGGTACCCCCACCGCGTCGACGAGGCCCTGCGTGCTCTCGCCCGGGAGGAGCACCGCGAGTACGTCCCGGAGGAGGTGTTAAGGTTGAGGATTGGGGGATTGGGCGCGACGGGGAGGTGATCCGGCTGTGATGATGTCTGGTTGCTAGTTGTCAGGGGCATTTCCATTTGCGCCGAAACGTTCTTTTCTGTCCCGGGGCAGGATTGGGGGGAGTGTTGTGAGCGTCCTGACAATGACGAGATGTACCATCGGATCCTATCAGCCTGGCCCGGGATCAAGGCCAACATTCGCGATATCCTGGCAAGTTCCCCCGCGACAGCGAATTGCATGACGTGCATCGCCCTCTTCAAGCTAGGATTTGACGGGTTGTGGGACACAACCCATGGCAGTGGGCGGCGGGGACGAGGCGGCCGCGGCGAGGTTGTCGGGTTCGCGGCAGTTAGTTGTCCTTGAAGAAACGGCTGCTGCTGCTATTTTTGGTCTGGAAGAACGTGGCCCGAAATGATTTACTCCGTGAAGCAAAATTGTTGTTGGACGGCTGTTCGCTGTGCCGGTATTCTTGGTATCTCGGGAGATATTAGTAGAGCTAGGTCTGATAAGTCAAGCAATCTAGCTTCGCCCTCAGACGACACACGTGAAAGCCGGGCGCGGGTAAGTGTTGCGTAGCGAGTGGCGCCGGTCCCGATAATTCCAAACACGACGCATGTTGGGTGTAGCGTATAGCTAGTTGCCGAGTGTTAGGACGAACTACATGGCTCTACAGACCAGACTTGTCAGGGTCATTGGTGCCAAAAGCTAGCAGGTCGTCTGACCCACCCAACTTTGTTTATAGTGTCTTGTCAGTTGTTTGGAGGGGCTCTCTCGGCAAAGACTCGAACCAACGAATAGAATAAGATCCAAATCCATTTCATCTATTTGTTTCCATCTGTCTAATCCTGGTTCTAGGCTAGTCGATCTGACGGCACTGGAGGAGCTGCCTCGAACCCTTGCTGTGGCCGGTCTGCTGCCGGGTGCCTCCTGCACCGTAATCACCGCCGCCAAGGGGAGCGCTTTACCGGTTGCCGTTGCCAAGCTCTAGTACGTCACGCTAGATCTCGCTCGCTGGGCTGGGCGGGCCGCGGTTTGCCCAAGATCGGCCTGCCGTGGTGTTGTCGGAGCACTCGGCGTGCCCTACTGGCGTATCCTCGGATGTCCACAACGGCCCGCCCTTCTCCCATTTGTCAAGTCCGGATTTCTCTACCGCGATTGTGCTTAGAGCTCCTTCTTGCCCTCGTACGGCTTCCCGGCGGCCTTGGCCCTCTCCTTGTCGCGCTTGGCGTAGATGCCTGCGGTGAAAGGGTTCTCGAATTGGATGGCGACTAGGTACACGATCAGTACGTGCAGGGTCAAGAGGATGCCGGCCGGCTTCCCGTAGAGCAGGGCAGTGCCCAAAAAGCTCATGGTCGCGCCATAGTACATCGGGGCGTTGGTGACGTTGAAGGGAAAGCCCGTTACGATGTCATCCATGAGGATGCCACAGTAGTCGCCCAGGAAGGTTCCCGTAATGCCCAGCTGCCACGTAGAGGAGATGACGAAGAGGTTTCCGATGGCCAGCAACGCATAGGCGGCGTAGTTCACAAGGGGCCCTTCGAGGGCGGGATGCGAGGGCTGGTCGCGCAGGGCACGCTCGAAGAGGAAGTCACGGAACAGGCCGAGCGAGAAGATGGTCACGGCGAGGGCGTAGCATGCCCGGTAGTTGCCACCGAGGGCGCGGCTGAGAAACTTGGTCCGGTATTCTGTCGAAATATTAGAGATGGGGACAGGAACGGGATGGGTCGGTGTGTGGACCGTGACGGACCTCTGCGGGCAACGATGCTGGAGGAGATAATGGTTAGCGACAAGCTCACAAAACAGCCTGGAGCTCGGGAAACCTACTTCCAAAAGGTCGGGTTGAAGGCAATAGCAGCAGCCGAGACTTTGCGCGCGGTTAGTCTACCCCGGTTTTGATGAACAGGCCCATTTCCGATGCAACATACTGAAGAGGCTCTGCTGGTTGAAGTCGACGAGCTCGACCAGCTCGGCGAGGGTGGTGGGAAGAGACATGGTGGTTGTGGTTGTGGCTGTGGTTGCGGTTGATGCGATTGATAAACGATCTGCAACACGAGACGGAGGGTGGAAACGTGGTATTACACGGGCATGGAAATTCGATGATGGACAAAATGCGAAGCTCAGGTCAGGAACTGCCCTGAAAAATAGTTCGGGAGACGGTGTGCGGAACGTCATCGGCAACCCCCACAGCTCACACCTTCCACCCCGGCTCAGCCTAGGTGGGCAATCGGGAGCCAACCCGCGCAGCCGTTTCTGCCCCACCAACGGAAGGATACGTACCGACAACAGGGCAGTACAGGGGTAGCTGCCCCCAGGCTTGGTGTCGCATCTTCAAACCAACTCAACCACGTCAACCAATCGCGTGAGATGAGACCACATTGCAACGTGAAACCGAGATGTCTTGAAACTTTGTACATATTATTTTCTGATAGTACCTAACTTCAATCATTCATCAATCTAATGATCACATTCAGGTAGTCCAACCTACTTCTCCCGCCGCAATGGCTCCCCAACCAACCCCCTCCAGAGCCCCCCAAAAGGGCCAAAACAACTCCTCCATCCCCCCCCATCGACCCCTCATCCTCCTTCACCCCAGAGAGCTTCGAAGCCGAGCTCCGCGCGCTGGCCGCCAAAGCCCAGACCGAGACCTGGTCCAACTGGCTCACCACCCAATGCCGCATCTACCTCAAGACGGCCACTCTCCTCACCCTCATCGCCGTGTACTCGACCGTCTCCCAACTGGCCCTCTCCCCGGTCTACGGCTCCATCCCGTCCGCCAAATGGCACGCCAAGCTGCTCATGGCCGCCTGCTTCACCGGCTGGTCGTCCAACCTCTTCCTGAACCGCGCCCTGCCGGTGCGGCCCGAGTACCTCCTCCCCGTGATCGCCCTGTGGATCCCCACCGTGCAGTTCCTGCTCACCCCGGCCAGTGGGACCCTCACGGCCGCTTGGGGCCCGCTGGTCACCGAGGCCGTCACCCTGTTCCCGCTGGTGGGCGTGTCGACCGCGTGCGTGGCTACGTATCTGGACGGGGCCGATCTGTCGGCGCTGCCGGGGTGGGTGGCTGATGCTGCGCCTGGGTTGGGAGCGTATGGGTTTTTTAAGGGTGCCGAGACGGTGCTGGGTGGGTTGGTGGAGGGACTGGTTGGAAAGTCGGTGCTGAACACTAGACTCGGGATGGAGTTGGTTCTGGGGGCGGCGTATGCGCTGGTTGCGCCGTCCAAGTTGTTGCTTTTGGCTGTGCCGGCGCTGCTGCACACGGCGGTCCTGAACACGAATGTCCCGACGCCGATGGCCCTTGCTAGGCTGAACAGTGGCCTTGCGGATGTGGGATATGTGGTTCTGGACAGGGCTGAGTCTAACACGGGCTATATCTCGGTTATTGATAGTCCCAAGGAGGGATACCGCGTCTTGAGGTGCGACCACAGCTTGCTGGGTGGTGAGTGGGTCAAGTTTTTGGGCCAGGGTCAGTTCAAAGGGAACCAGGTGGCTGAGCCTATCTACGGCGTGTTTGCCATGCTTGAGGCCGCTAGGCTGGTCAAGACACCGGAGCCGATTATCGACAGCGAGGCCAATGCCCTTGTAATGTAAGTTGCGTAAACGGCACCCTTATGTACATGTGCTAACCTGACTGCAGTGGTCTTGGTATTGGCACCACGCCGGCCGCCCTTGTGGCCCACGGCATCGACACCACTGTGGTCGAACTCGACCCGATGGTTCACAAGTTTGCCGCCCAGTACTTCCAACTTCCTCGCAATCACACCGCTGTCATCGAAGACGCGGTCACCTACACCTCGCGGGTGGCCGCGGACGAGAGCGAAGCCCGCTACGACTACATCATCCACGATGTTTTTACTGGTGGCGCCGAGCCCATCGCGCTCTTCACCCTCGAGTTCTTGCAGAACCTCCACACGCTGCTCAAGCCGAACGGCGTGGTCGCTATTGTATGCCTAACCCTCTCTCGCCCCTCCTTCCCCAAACCCTCACTAACACGCCCTCCCACACTAGAACTACGCCGGCGACTTTGCCCTCCCCCCTCCACGCATCGTCGTCAACACTATCAACGCCGTCTTCCCGGCCTGCCGCATCTTCCGCGAGCACCCGCGCGACGACGCCGACTTTGCCGAGTCTGGGCGCGACTTCACCAACATGGTCATCTTCTGCACCAAGCAGGCCGACAACGCGATCGCCTTCCGCACCCCCAGCGAGCGCGACATGCTCAACAGCCCCTCGCGCCGCGCCTTTTTGCTGCCGCAGCATGAGGTGAAGGAGTCGGATTTCTTGGTCACGGGTGAGGAGGCCAAGGGTCTGCTGAGGAAGAATGAGACGGAGAGTCTGGCTAAGTGGCATGAGGTCAGTGCGGCGGGGCATTGGACCGTTATGAGGACCGTGATTCCGCCGGCGGTGTGGGAGGCGTGGTGAGTTTGCAGTAGGCGCCTATTGAGCCCATGAAGGGGTTTGGTTGGATGGGGTTTTGAGGATATGACGTGGCAAAACACTTTAGATAGGTGCTGAAGTAGCCGGGGATATGCTGTATATACTGGTTTTGGACATTGTATTTCCTTGCCCTTGGTCTGGCAATATGCACCGACAGTGTCTCAACACGCTTCCCCCCCCCCAATTCCACCCCCCAACCCATCCCAACTCACTCACCCCCCTTCTTCGCCACCACCTCCCTCCCCACCGCCTCCCTAGCATACACCTCCGCCTCCTCATTAACCTCCCCCCTCCACCCCTCCAAATACTCAGGCACCCCCTCCACCCTATTATACCCCCCGGCCACGGGCTCCCCCCTCACCATATAAACGGGCACCACGCCGGTCCACACCCTTTCCAGCAGCCCCGCATCCTCCATATCGCCCCTCTCGTCATGCGGCTCGCCCGTGCGGATCTTGGCGCTGCCCGTGCTGACCCGCACGCGCAGCACGCTGGTGCTCTGCATCTCGGCCGCGTTGGGCGGCACCCGCGTGTGCGCCCACCGCCCGGGCACCACGCTGTTGGTGATCAGCTCCATCGCGTACAGCTTCTCGGCGGGGTCGGTGACTAGCGTGGCGTGCCCGAAGAGGATCGCGCTGCGGTAGTTGTAGCTGTCTGGTTGGGGGGTTAGTGGTGGAGCTGTTTGGCTGGGGGTTGTTTGGTGGGGTGGTGGGTGGATGGTGAGTTGGCGTTGTTGGTACTTACGGCTGTTGGGCGTGAGCGAGAGGACTAGACCGTCGAGGTGGGAGGCGGCGATGGTCATGGGCACGCCCTCCTCTTGGGAATCGGTGGAGCGGGCGGTGTTCATGATGCGGGAGGAGACGTAGCTTTGTGGTGAACAGTGTTAGTGGTGGTGAGAGAATAAGGGTAAATGACCGTGGAAAGCGATGAGATAACGGTTGATGGGCGACAGCCACTATGACCACCAACTCGACCGAAACATCACTAACCCGTGAAGATATAGATCCAGCACCTCACCCAGGTCAGCGCTGGGCCGTGAAAACGAGCCCATCTGGCCGATCATGGGCAGAACTGCCGGAAAGGGGCTATTGGCTGCTTGGAAGGAGACATGGAGCAGGGGACACGAGTTGACGATTTGATGAATAGTCTCAAGAGCATAGTCCGCTGAGAGTTGGTTAGACCTGGATGCTCATTTATAAGAGCACCGGAGCTCACCCCGATCTTTAAGTCGGTTGACCTTGCTGTAAGGCTCGGTCGGATACTGGAGCTCGCGAAGAGGCATTGTGAAGGGCTGCTTGGGCGTGGCTCAGGGGCTAACTACCGAGAGATACGGGATCAGGTTGATGGTTTTTCCGAATAGGGAATTGGTTGTCTAACAAACTTATAAAGAGAGATTGGTGAGTCAGGATGAAGGAGTCACACGGATAGCACATCCGGGATGAGGCCGACCGGATTGGCCGAGGCCGATGCCGACGACACCCGTCTCACGGGAATACCCCGCTCGGCACGCCGAATGTCCGGCCTTCGCCTCCAACGCACAGCCATACGACTATACGGCCATACTAGGTAGGTGGTTACTAGTGTAGTTATGTACGTCCTCGACCCACCGCGCCCTTCGGACGACCGCTCGATGTCGGTCGGCGCTAGATGTCAGATATGCGAGTGGATGGACCTTCCTTCACCTATGCCGTTTTGTTTGTATTGACAGAAAACGACCACAGAAGTAGCAGCAAAAAGGAGTAGAACTTGGATAGCGCATTGAATGGTTTTGTATTGTAAATTGTAAGTTAACCAAACCATTCCAGATTCACCGTGGGTGTAACTAGTAGAAAAGTATTGTAGAGTAAAAAAAAGAGAAAAAAAAAGTAAAAAAAGAAAAGGGGGGGAAGGGTTCCGTTGTTGAACGGGAGCCTCCGGTTAGTAAGTGCTGCGCTCTCCTAATTTGGAGAATCAACACCGTGCCCGAAGGCGAAAGTGACTTCTTGCATTCTTCATTATAAAGGAGTCCTCTCTGCTTTGTACGCACAGAGCGAGCACCGACAGGGACGGAAAGTCGGGGGGGGGAGGCTTGGCAGGGCGAACCTGATCACACACCTTTCTTACCGAGGCACATAGTACCTCGGGCTCAAGGCGGCTTTATGTAGGGAAAAGGTTGATTCGAATTAGATGTATAAGAATATTTTGCATGGACGGCTGAATGCTGGGTTTAATTGAGTTAAGACGACCGAACTGCCCGGCCACATCCGCTCGCGGCTGTTGGCGATCGAGACGAGGCGAGACGCTTCAAGTCTTGTTTTACACCTGCCGGAGTCGTTACTAGGCGAGAGCGGGTAAACTGATGAGTAGCAGCCATTGTCGGCCTCTCAGGAAACAGAAAAGTATTAGGCAGATGCTGAGTTATGACATGCAGAACTGAATGAACTTTGAGCTGCTCATGATTCGAGGTCGGCGGGTTCTTGGCAGGGGGAAAAGTGTTTCGAAATGGGGAAAATGGTGTAAATTTTGCCCACGAAAGGGGCGACGCACGGGCCATCACTGGACTGAAAGTGCAACTTTGATGTGCAATGGGAGGGAAAGCCGCAACTTGTGGCTCACCATCGACAACTGCGTGAACTTACAACTTCCTCCCCAGACCCAATCGAACGGGCCCACCAGCTGCCTCTGGTTTCATACTGTCACGGTCAAATCTTGAATTTTCATCTTGACCCACCCCTACTTTTCTACGAAGTATGCCATGTTTGCTACCAAAAACGCCATAGACAAGCATCGTTATCCCATCCCACGCCCGGCCGTGGCCGCCCATCGACGCTTCATAAAACCATAAAACCGGCAGAGAGGGATTTGCGGGTTTAGATGCGCTGCTGCATCATTGCTCCAGTTGTAGGCTCTAAACTTAGTTGGGTCGACTAGCTGTTTCAACACCGGGCAAGGCGTGACAGTGCAACTTGGAGATGGTCGCACTCGCCTGCCTCCTGTGTACATACATACACAAGACCGACGAACCATTAATCACTCGGCACTCCAACCATGAGGCAGAGAGTGAAGCGGACCTTTAAACGAGGCCCGATTGTCTCTTGAAGACGGCGGCTGCCCACACGCTGGGAAAGTTCTGCGCGGCAGTCCGTGCGAGATGTAACACCTGAGGTTTCAAGTGAAACGCCATGAGCTGGGGTCTGGATGCAACCGCCGAGCAATGGCCTTGTCAGCCTTGCTTGTCGTCCAATCTCTGCCTCTGTCTCTTCTTTGCATGAACGGCGGGAGCAGGGTGCTTGTTTGAGTGATCGACCGCTTGTCCTGTCTGGACCTAAACCTCGTGAAGCAGACGACCACCAGGATGGAGCTCGACTCTCGGGGGTGACCCTGTGTTGCGATACTCGCCTCCCTTCTTTGCTACCCGACCGGCTTCTCCTTGGCGCCACCGCTTCACCCTTTCTGCCTCGATCCACACCGAACTGCCTCGTCTTGGTTCGTTGTGGGCTCGTCGTGTCCGTGTCAACCCCAAATCTCAGCATTCTCTCCTTCACCATCTTTTGTTTGGTGTCGTTTATGGGATGGCCGTCTGATCACAACACCACGGCGTTACTTCCGGGGACCTTCCACTATGATACGTTCATTTTATTGACGATATTTCTTTTTTTTAATTCGCCCCATTGAATGGGCTGGTTTCCCTTCTCTTCTCACTTGTTCTTCTTCTAAGCCGGCCCCAATATGGCGGTCGAGGGTGCGACGCAGGCCCTCGTCGCGGCTTTCTTCTTGTCAGTATTCTCCAACCCATACTAGATAAACCCCATCGAGGCTCGCGTTGAGGCAATCGGCGTTGACTAACGTGTTGGGGTAGCGGGATCGTGTTGAACGCGGCGTCCGCGGCTCTCGTTCTCTACGTTAAGGGGTATGGCCTCTCCGCCGTATTTCGGGACAGCCAGAGGCTGGTCCTCGTTCTTTTTCTTCTGAGTGCGGCCCTGTGGGCCCAGATCGATTTTATAACAGTCCTTCTCGACATCTCGACGTCGTCGATGCCCTGCCAAATCGGTATTATATTCTCTACCACATTCGATCAGTTTGCCCGCTTCTCGGTCGAGCAGTTCCTCCTATGGGCTCTGAATAACAACAACGGAACGAAGCTTTCGCTCGCCCAGCTGATCCCCCAGATTCTGGTTCTGGTTAGGTTCCTGGCCGGGGCTATCTTCATCGGGTTCACCCGGCCACAGACTGACGACTTCTGCGTCGCCACCACATCTGCGCTTCCTGTCGGGATTCTGGTTGCCGCTTTGGATGGGGTTATCGTTTTGCTCCTTATCATTAGGGCCTATTCGGCGGGAGGAGCGGCAAAGGAAAATCGTGGTGGCAAGGGAGTTAATGCTGATCGAGCCAGAGCGCTGATGACTGTGCTGCTGGGTTTGGTGTTCTGGACAGGGGTACGTTGTGTGACGTGATGTTCTTCGTTCTGGCACTAACAAGGCGATAGACGAGTGTGCCGATGCTTCTCGGCTTTCAGACTCTGGCCCTGGCTACCAGGACGGCCCTGCCCGCCGGTGGCTTGCTGGTTGTGATTGGTATATTACCTGTTTTGCTCTCCTCTTCTCCCTAGCTCAAGCTAACACAATCGCAGCTTTCGTGGCAAGTGGCGCTGAAACTTTACTCGCCTCCCGGGGGACAGGCTCTCGGCCGCCAGAAGCGCCGTCACCACGACGTATTAACATCAGCCGTGATATCTCGACCTCCAGCACTGATTATCCTCCGACTCGCTTTGAGGACCTTAAAGAAGCGGCCATCCGGTCCTCCAGAACATTCGTCAACCCGAGAGACGCGCCGAGAGTCAAGGATGAAACAAGTGTTGGGTTCGATTTTGGTATTGAACCACCTCTCCCGGCAAGTGTTGCTCACAGGACGTTGTTCCACCCGATGAAAGGCAAGATGACCATCAGTCGCCCGATCGTCCAACAAAATGACGGTCAGAATCCCTGGAGCAAAATTGCCGTCATGGATCTCCAGGAGGCTGCGGTGGCGGATAGGGAAAGAAGAGCCAGGATGCACGAGGAGGAAAACGCGGCGGCCATCCGCCCTGGATGGCCGTCGATGGACTTGGCTCCGGAGGAAGCGTTGAAGCGTGGGGTTAGCCTGAAGAGGAAAGAAGTTGCCTCTGCCTCTATTCGGGAAAGCATCTTCCCTGGCGCTCTTCAGCCAGATGGTGCGGCCGTCGCGGTAACCACGTCCGCCCAGCTGTCTCCAGGAGGAGAGGAAACTCGCCGGAGGTCACCTCGACCATCGCTACAAGAGGAGTCCGTCCAGCCACGGCAAGCATCCCCCGTGAGGGTTACGGAATCCCCCGAGCCCGAGTCTCAGTCCGCGCAAAACGTCTCGTTGACAAGGCAACAATCTCTCCCAAAGCCGAATATTCGCCCTTCGAGGATGCTGCCCCCGTCGCCGACAACGCCGCCTGCTGAACCGACCAAAACTCCGCTCCAGAGGCGCCCAACTATTGGCCTTCCATCGAACCCAAGGGCACGGGGTCTTGCAGTGGCCGAAGAGCCAGGATCGCAGCACCGGACCATCTTATTTGTCAACAACATCGAATACAATAACCCAGCCATGGTTGAGGCAATCATCAAAACTGCAGGCCACCCCGTCAAGCAAGCCCCCATCGCTGAGACTCCTGGAACTCCACAGTCCGTCGTCAACCGCCCGCGTCCGATCCCGCGGAAGCCGTCAGACTCGTCAGCGCAGTCTAGCCCAGCGCTTAACCACCGTCGAACCAAGTCCGGCGGGTCTCTAATGGCGAGGAAGTCTGTTCTTGCTCCGTCGCCCGGTAGCCCCACGACGCTCCCGCCTCTCCCCGTTCTGCCCAGGAGCGCGACGGTGGGCGCCAGGCCGCATCCCAACAACACCAAGAGCATGACCTTCCAAGAAAAGGTCACGCTCATGTTCCCAAACCCACCGAGCTCAAACGCAGTCAAGCGCCGATCATCTCTCCCCGATGTTCCGCCCATTCCCGTATCGTACTGGGATGTCGACTCATCGCCGAGTGAGCCCTATGACCGCCAGCGTTCTAATCGGACGACGCAGGCGTCCACTCGTACTGAAAGTATTCTGGAAGTTGACGAGATCCCACGCAAGGCCGGAAAGGCGATGGATACCGTCGGTGAAGCAGGAAGCTCCTGGCTCCGCGCTTTTGGTGACGGGGACGGCGGTAACCCGAACAACCGCCCGCGCGCGAAGGGAGCCAGCGTCAAGCGCGAGTCATCCCCAGTTATCCCTGATGTTCCGGTCCGCGCGTCTGCCTGGACAGAGACAACATACGACCGTTCTGAGGACGACGGGACGAACTGGAGCTCTATGAACACTCCGGAGGTTGCCATTGGCATTCCCGTCATGCAGCGGCTTGGCCTGCCGTCGTCAGTCCGGATGCCTGGCCGTCAAAACATGAGAGGATCGGAGCTTTCGTTTGCTGACACCCGCAGCCGGGAGACATTGCCGATTATGCTTGATACTTCAAGTATTCAACAACCCGATCACGAGAGCCCGGTAGTTCCGGAAGCTGAACCCGTGACAAGCCCAGAGATGCCTACTTGGCATCGACGTGTAGGCGACGTGTGCCCGACTTTCTCAGACAGAGAAAAGAAGGTCAAGGCTAGGAAGATGCCCCCTCCAGCGCCTCTGCCGCTTCACACTCTTTCCACCAAGAAGATCCTTGCCGTTCAAGTCGAGCCTTCCCCGCTCGAGTCCCCTGGACAAGCCATCCAGCAAATTCAGGCGCAACTGAGGAAGCTTGACGAACTCGAACAAGCTACCCCGGAGAGTGCGTCGCGGCGGATAGCGCTTCTTGAGGACCTCGAACGGGAGATGGGCCAACAGGAGGAGCACTGGGAGGAGATCAAGCATGACATTGGCCGTGATTCTCTCTCCAGCATGCAGACTCTTTCGCCGGCCGGCCGTAGCTCGCGCCACGCGTCTGTGGCTAGCACTATCAACATGGCTCGCGAGGCGACCAGAAAAAGCATTGGGGCTGAACGCAGAGCTTCCCGCCTCGCCAATATGCAAAACAGCCTCAAACCCAGTGTTCCTGAGCCGCCAGCACGGAACTCGGTGAGCCCGCAGCTGAGCAAGTGGCAGAAGCGGTTGACGGAAGCGCAGATGGACTACATGGACGCTCGACTTCTCCGAACCAGCAACGTCAATTTTATGCAACTGTCGAAAGCTCAGCTTGCCAGTCCTACTCCGCCAGACTCTAACGACTCCGAGATTCCGCCTCTTCCGAGTTTCGATGAGGAGATTGTCATCGAGAAGCCGTCAGAAGCACGCCGAGACCTAGCCTCGCTCTGGACACCAGCAACGAAGGAGATCGCTCCGACGAGCTTCCTTTGGGCGTTTACTTCGAAGCCTGATACGGAAATTGAGGCTCCGCTTCCGGCGTTGACGGTCCGCCCAGCACAGAGAAAGGAATGGGCGCCTCTTCGGATCGAAAGCGCTCAGCTCTGGCGCAAGCCGTACAACACCGCAAACCGGGCAACCTCAGGCCTCTGGCGCCCCTCTCTGGGCTTCGGCAGCGCCTCCCGCCCAACCACTGGTGCGCACGTCCTCTAAGTCGGAACCCGCCTCTCAAAAGCCCCCGCGCCCCGGTAACCCAACGGCCTCCCCGCCGCAACAAGCGCGTGACGCTGCTCCCAGATATCCTCGAGAGCCCGCAGCCTCTTCCGGACAAGCGCGGGACTCTCGGCATTTTCCAGTTCCCATGGGGCGAGAAGTCCGACACGGCGAGCGTCCAACCGCGCCCGAGCATGTTCATGGCCATGCCCGGTACCATGTCGTCGGGTACTCCGTCGATCGGCATGGCAGGCCGCACAAGGCAGCCGGAGTCGGCCGAATACTCTTCCTCGTTTTTTGACGACTACGACGAGGAGGATGAGATCATGGGGATGGACTCCGACGAGGGCGATAGCGACGATGGGTTTGACGAGACAACGCTCTGGGAGATTGCCAGCCTCTTGAAGACCGATGAGGTGCCATCGAGAAATAGCTTGTTGCCGCCCCCATCTGAGTCTGTCGTCGACGATTATATCGATGAATTGTCTTCGGACGAGGAAGGTCAGTCGATCGTCATTGGCCTCGCTGAACCCCTGGAGGTGTTTGTTGAGCAGCAACGCGACTCGGCCACACTGGAGAGCTCGGCTCTGCTCATGCTCGAAGACGCTCTTGATGCCAAGACGGCACCCAAGCAGGCTATCAGAATTGGTCTTCCTGCCAACCCCAAGGCCTCTCTGAACAGCCGCGCGGCCCCTGCTCCCCGGGCGACACCAGAACCCGAGATGTCTCGGATGCCACGTAACACGCCCGAAGTCCAAAAGCCTGCGTTTGTTCAAAAGCAAAAGTCAACCGGCTTGTGGCACTCGCCTAACCAAACGGATAAGCCTTATGTATCCGGAGGCTTATTCGTATTCAAGGCTCGCCGATCTGATGGCCGTGGCACGTCCGAGGAGCCGGCTGCCATGTACATCAGCCGGAAACCACGCCCGGTTGAGCAGAAGCCCCTGGAGCGATTGGTATCGACAAATCTCTGGGTCTCTGGTGATGCCAGAAGGAAGAGCGAGCGGAACTGGATCTTGGGAGTAAAGCCAACACAGCGCGGGAGCAGGCTTCAACGACCTCAGACTACCCCCGAGGACTGGAAGGCCGCTCTGAGAGAAGCCATTGCAGTTAGCTACCCCCGCCGCAAGCTCAACCGTACCATCGCCACACCGGCCGAGTGGAAGGCTGCGCTTCAAGAAGCTATTTCCCTCTCTGCACCTGCTTTCAACCCCGCGATCCGCCACCCGGTCTTCTTTGGCCCTCTAACCATCACCCGCCCTGAGCAGGCCCTCCACCCAGCCCTTCCGGGCTACGCAGCCAAGGAGGTACACCAATCGTCTTCCGACTCGCGAAGCCGTATTCAAACCCAGCGCAAGGACGAGGCGCACTCCTCGGACAACGCGCTATCGCCGGTCCCAACGATGCTACAGCCAACAATCTACCACAACAGCGCGATCCAGGCACAGATCGAGGCGCTCGAGGCAGAGCGCATGTTCGCGGAGCGCACTGCGCAGGCGGAATACCGCCGGCGAACGAGCATGACAGCGGCTGCTGCTGTTACGGAGCCGGTGGTGCCGGTCGAGGAGGAGATGACGGGCTTCGATGCCGTGCAGGACCTGCAGAGGAGGCTGAGTTTGCGCATCCGGCAGTCGTTGGTTTTTGCGCCGGCCCCCGTTCAGCAGCCCCAGCCTGTGCCGGCACCGCCTGTTGTTGTTACTGCTGCTCCGGCTGAGGTGTTGAGGGCTGAGGTGAAGAGCAAGCCCGAGCGGCGTGTTTCGTTTGCTTCGGCTGCTAGCCAGGGTAAGGGTGCCAGCTACTTGTGGGTTCCCGCCTCCCGGCCTGTGGTTTCGACAGCCGGCTTGTGGTCAGCGGTTGTTACGCGTGGTTCTTCGACCAGCCCCTCGGTGGAAGAAGACAGCTTTGCCGCTTCGCAACGGGCATCCCGGCGAGGGATGTTGCAGAGGAAGCAGGAGGAACAGGAGATCCTGGAGCAAATGGCTGCGATAGAGAGGGGCGAGAACCCCTTTGTCCACTTCTTGGGGATGAAGCCGTGGGTGGATGAGGAGAAGGTGGTTGTGGTCCAGGCACGGGAGAGGGACTGGTTGCATAGTGTGTGCGCGCCGAGGACGAAGACGCAGTCGAAGGGCAAGCAACTCTGGACCTCTTCGCTTCGTTCCAACCGCCGTTCTCTCCCCACAAGCGGCCTCTGGACACCCATGGCTGGCCATCAATCGTCTGAGCCATCCTCGGAGGAGGAGGACGCCGCCCATAACGTCCAGGGCAAGAGGAATCGTCGACAAAAAACATTCGCGCTGGACACTACAGTGCCGCAGGGAACGGAGATGTGGAATGAGAGCACCGTATCTTCTCAAAACGGGACACGGCAAGATTGGTTGCACAGCGTGATGCGCACCGGCCCGGACCACCCGCTCCATGACCAAAGAACTCTGGGCTTCTCCCCGTCGTTCCAACAGTCGCGCTCTTTCACGGGCCGGTCTTTGGATTCCCACGGTTGACCATCAATCATCAAAATCGTTTCACGAAGAGGAGGAAGCCACCCACCCCGCTCAGAGCAGGAGGAACCGCCGGCGACAAGAACCCTTCACGCCAGCGGCCAAGGTACCCCGTGAAGCGGGAACATGGAACAAGAGCACTGTATTCCCCCCACGAACAGCAAAGCGAGATTGGTTGCACAGCCTATGCGTCCCAGCCCCGACCTCGGCCTCAGCCACCACCCACCGCGTGAGCAAACGGCTCTGGACCTCTCACCGTCCCAGCAGCACCACCAGCCACCCCACCTCATCCGTCCACCTGTGGCCCGCAGCAGCCTCCCTGCCCTGGACAGAACCCACCGCAAGCAGGAAGAACCACCACCGATACGCATGCACCATCCCCCCAACCCGCGCCCATCCAGCAGCGCGCGGAGATGTGGACTCAGCAGCACCAAAACACACCCGCGGCTCAACTCGCGACAACCCACGACTGGCTCCACAGCGCCTGCACACCCACCACCCCCAACAACGGCCGCGTCACTCACAAACAGCAACAACAACAACAACAACTCTGGACAGCTCCCCACAACCGCAGCAGCAACGCCAACCAGGCCGGTCTGTGGTCTCACCTCACAGCCACCACCACCCGTTCTTCCTCCACCTCCACCTCCCTAGTAGAGAGTGAAGACAGCTTCGCGGGCGCGGCGCGGGCGCGGCGGCGGAAGGCGATGCAGGAGATGATGGAGATGCAGGAGATCCTGGAGCGGATTGCGGCGGTTGAGCGGGGGGAGGATCCGTTTACTGTGGCGTCCAGGGGGGTGCTGGGGATGGGGATGGGGATGTGGAGTGCAGGTGTGGGTGTCAGTGGTAGTGGTAGGGGTAGGGATAGGGGCATGGGGGGGAGGGATTGGTTGCATAGTGTGTGCGTGAGGCGGACGAGGGGGGTTGTGTTGAGGTATTAGGTGGTTACGGGGTTGGGTGGTTGGTTGTGCTGGAGGAAGAGTGTGTGTGTATAGGTGGCCAAAGGGAGCGGAGCGTTGGATACCCCAGCTGTGGAGAGGGAGAGTGGTAATACCCAGCTTTACGGCAACTGTCGTTATGGCCAACTGGTCCTGGTTCTGTTCTTTTCTTCGTTTGTTCTTTTACCAGTTTGTAAATACATGTACATACATACATGTCTCCTATTTCGAGATTGTATACATCTTCTCATCCACGGCAGTACACTCGCCCTGGTGAATGGACACATGTTTTTTGGTCAGTTGGTGATATCGTGTAACCACAACCGTCCGGATATCCGTGTCCATCGTGGTGATCCGCGCGTCCACTGCGTGGGGTGCCTGCGGGCTCGCTCGCCGTGCCGTTACCGTTTAAGTGCCGCTACGACGGGAATTATGAATGCGCGAGAAAAAGCTTGACAGACGGGAGTAGGTGTGTCCGTGGTATGTAATACAGGCAAAGGGACTTCCATATATGAGCGAGTTAATGCCGCTCCGAGAGCACACGTCCTATCCCCGGATATAACGGACACGGGAGCAGTGCTACCCAGGTGCCCTGCTGGAGTCAGGAGATGGCCTGACTTGCTGATGGTCCATCCCACGGCTGCTACCGTGTTATGTCTGGAACGGGAACATCTCCGAGCACAGTTGCGGAAACAAGCCGGGCGCCGCTGCTCAGGGACAAAGATGAGGTTTTGTCTACACAAACTCGAGAGGGTGTTCGGGAGGACGGCTCGGGCAGCGGTGTGGTGACAAGGTCGAAAAAATCGCAAACTCCGGAATTACTAACCATTCGGACTGCGGCTCTGGAAATTATGTCGCACAATGCAACTCACACGAAGCCGCAGGTAAAAAAGGTGCCGAGAAGCAGCCACACAAGCGCCGGGCCAAGCCGGAGCTGGACCCCGAGGCAGGTGATGCCGGATGCCGAGCGAGTGGGTCCGAATCGTCCACCGCCACCACGGTCAGGAGGTTTCTTGGTTTTGTGGTGAGACTTGGATGGGGCTTCTGGGGCTTACTGGACAATTTATGGGAACGTAGGTCGTGAGTCAAGTCGGTCGCCGGTTTGTTCCGAGAAGGAGCGGTAACTATTCAAGAAAGATGACAGGCGGCACCTCCAAGCAGAGAGGTGGACCCCCATCTCTGCTCGGGAACCCCCAAGAAAAATGATGCGTGGCTGTGGCCACGGTGTGACTTCCGGGAACGGCTGAACGGGTACCTGAAGAGCCAGCAACTAACAGTCTAGGCCATAGGTAGGGGGCCACTGGAGAGATTTTCAGAAACACACCACGCGAGGGAAGATAAGGTCTGGCCCGGTCTTTCTCCGCGGGATCGAATGAGGAAGCAACGACCGATTCTGCAACACCTGATTGGCTGGCACACTTATCTGTGGACTATCTGCTATCTTGACCAACCTCATCGCCCTTGCCGTTGGATTGCCGTTGTAAGATGAGATGCTCCGTGGGTTTCCACTTTTCACAGGCGATGCGCGGTCCTCGAACCTTCGCATTCCCTACATCAGTGCCTGCTATCAGGGCAAGACTCCCCATGCGAATGCCCCGTGGAGATGCAAAGCTGCCAACATCCCGCGTCCTGCTCCATCCGCTCTCTACTGTGTACTCCGTCTGACTTTTTTCCCGCTAAGATCCTGACATGATGTCTACGCCTTCCCGACTCCCGAGATATCTCAGAACAGACCCGGAGATGCAGTTCTCCGTTGGCTGTGGGGATTGTGCTCCGTGGATTCCCATGGTTGAGGCGCATGTTGGCAGCGTTGATGGTTTCTCGGGAGAAGATACCGACGCCTGTCGTCAGATCCCAGGCGTGTCTGATGTTTTTGGCCAGTCGCCTGTTGTGGCCTGATGTTAGATAGAAAGGCTACCACCCGATCTTGCTCTTCTTTCTTCCTTTCCACTTTCCATTTCTCATCTTATCATCCCTAGAACAAGTCCTAATCGAACGAACTAGACTATTACAATCTTTGTTGTTGATAATTCACTCTGTTCTGCTCTCTTCATCTCTAATCCTCCCCGCTGGTGCCCCATACGTTACACCAAACCACGGCCAGCATGGCGGTGGGAACACGCAAACGAGTCGTTGTTGTCGGCCTGGGTATGGTCGGCATCAGCTTCATGTACGTGTAAATCAGTGAAGTCGACCTTTCTATCTTGCTGACTCTTGCACAGAGAGAAACTCCTGAAGCTCGACGCAAGGGCTCGGGAATATGACATCACAGTGGTCGGCGAGGAGAAGCATGTGGCCTACAACCGTGTGGGTTTGACAACATTCTTCGAGCACCGCAAGGTCGAGAAGTTGTACCTCAACCCCTTAGAATGGGTAACCATCACTTTATTCACTGTTGTCCAATGTCGAGGCTAACTAATTTGTCACAGTACGAAAGCATTATGGACGGGGCCTTGAACTACCACGTCAACACGACAGTCACCAAAATTGACTCCTTCCGAAAAACCATTAACTGCGCCGACGGCAAAGAAATACAATACGACATCCTCGTCCTCGCCACCGGCTCCGACGCCATCCTCCCGCGCGCCATCCCCAACCACGATGCCACCGGTGTCTTCGTCTACCGCACCGTTGACGACCTTGAGAAGCTCATTGCTTTCTCTGCAAATCAGAACGGCGCCGTTGGTGCTGTCGTCGGCGGCGGCCTGCTGGGTCTCGAAGCAGCCAAGGCTCTGATGGATCTACAATGTTACAACAACGTCAAGGTCATCGAGCGTGGTGGCTGGGTTCTCAGCCGCCAGTTAGACTCCGTCGCCGGCGCCATGGTAGCTGACCAGGTCCGAGGCCTCGGCGTCGACGTTTTGCTTAACAAAGCCGTTGCCGGGATACAAGTCGACGAGCAACGTAACGTCACAGGAGTCAGCTTTGAAGACGGCGATTCATTTGCTTGCTCCACGATATGCTTTGCTATCGGTGTCCGGCCACGGGACGAGTTGGCGCGGCAAGCAGGGCTCAACTGCGCGGCCCGTGGCGGGATCATGGTCGACAACAACCTCAGGACCAGCGATCCAAATATTTACGCCATTGGCGAGTGCGCAAGCTGGGAGGGCCAGGTGTTCGGCCTGATTGCCCCTGGCGTGGAAATGGCGGATATCTTATCCTTCAACCTCACACAGGCAGCGCTCCACCAACCGAGGCTGTACAAGCGGCCGGACCTTAGCACCAAGTTAAAGTTGTTGGGAGTCGAGGTGGCCAGTTTTGGTGACTACTTTGCGGACATTGAGGGCCCCAAGTATCTGCCAGCAAAAGCGAAGAAGACCAACGGGGTGAATGGTGCCAACGGTCATGGTTCCAACGGCGTCAACGGTGCCAACGGCACTAAGGAGGCCGCCGCGCCTTCAAGCCTTGTCAAGGCCCTGACGTACAAGGACCCCTTCCAGAATGTGTACAAGAAGTACATTTTCACCATGGACGGGAAGTACCTGCTCGGCGGCATGATGATTGGTGACACCAAAGACTACGTCAAGCTCGTGCCCTTGGTTAAGAACCAGAAGGAGCTCGATATCCCCCCGGCGGAGCTCATCCTCGGTGCCAAGAGCGAAGGTGATGATGGCGACGACCTCGACGATGACACTCAAATATGCAGCTGCCACAACGTCACCAAGGGCGACGTCGTCAAGGTCGTCAAGGACGGTACCTGCAAGTCCGTCGGCGACGTCAAGTCTTGCACCAAGGCCGGCACCGGTTGTGGGGGGTGCGTTCCTTTGGTGACCGCCATTTTCAACAAGACCATGAAGGATATGGGCAATGAGGTCAAGAATAACCTCTGCCCTCACTTCAACCACAGCCGCGCCGACCTGTACAACATCATCATGGTCAAGCGCCTCAAGTCGCTACCAGAAGTCATGAAAGAGGCAGGTACTGACCCCAACAGTCTCGGCTGCGAAGTCTGCAAACCTACTCTAGGTAGCATCTTCGCCAGTTTGTGGAACAAGCACGTTATGGGCAAAACGCACCATGGGTTGCAGGAGACCAATGATCAGTTTTTGGGCAACATTCAACGCAACGGCACATACAGTGTCGTGCCTAGGATGGCGGGCGGCGAGATTACGCCAGACAAACTTCTTGCCATTGCTCAAGTGGCTAAGGAGTACAACCTGTACACCAAGATCACCGGCGGTCAGCGCATCGACATGTTTGGTGCCAAGAAGCAGGACCTGCTTGACATCTGGAAGAAGCTCGTCGACGCCGGTATGGAGAGCGGCCACGCTTATGCCAAGGCGCTGCGGACAGTCAAGAGTTGCGTGGGGACAACCTGGTGCCGATACGGCGTCGGCGACAGTGTGGGTATGGCCGTTCGCTTGGAGGAGCGGTACAAGAGCATCCGCGCGCCGCACAAGATCAAGGGTGGCGTCAGTGGTTGTGTGCGGGAGTGTGCGGAAGCCCAGAACAAGGAGTAAGTCCCCGTGCCCATTTTCAACCCAGCACTCGCATACTAACCAAACCCCAGCTTCGGCCTAATCGCCACAGAGAAGGGCTTCAACATCTTCGTGGCCGGTAACGGCGGCGCCAAACCCAGACACTCTGAGCTTCTTGCCAAAGACGTGCCGCCAACCGAGGTCATTCCCATCCTCGACCGCTACCTGATGTTCTACATCCGCACAGCCGACAAGCTCCAGCGCACCGCCCGCTGGTTGGAAGCCCTCCCCGGCGGCATCGCCTACCTCAGAAAAGTCGTCCTCGAGGACTCACTCGGCATCAACGCCTCACTCGAAGCGCAAATGCAAGAGCTCGTCGACAGCTACTTCGACGAGTGGGCCGAAGCCATCAGCACGCCCTCCATCGCCGCCAAATTCCGCCAGTTCGCCAACACTTCCGAAACCCTCGAGAACATGGAACTCGAAACCGACCGCCTCCAAACCCGCCCCGTCATGTGGACCAAGCAGCCCGCGACCGACGACTTCGCCTCGCTCCGCGAAAACTGGTCCACCACCGTCTGGCAACCCGTCCTCGAAGCGTCCTACTTCCGCGGCGCCGACACCCTGCCCAACGGCATCAGCGCGGCCATCAAGCGCGGCGACACGCAGCTCGCCGTGTGGCGCTTCAAGGGTCGCTACTACGCGACGCAGCAGATGTGCCCCTACAAGCGGGCCTTCATCCTCTCCGACTCCATCATCGGCGAAGAAAACACCCCCTCCTCCACCCCCTACATCTCTTCCCCACAACACAAAAAGAACTACTGCCTCACGACCGGTGCCTGCCTCAACGACGCCGACCTGTCCATCGCGACGTTTGAGGTGGAAGAGCGCGGCGCCGACGGCATGGTGTACATGAAGCTGCCTCCCGTCGAGGAGCTGGACGCGGCGCTGGGGACGAAGCGGTGGATGGTGAAGAAGGGGGAGGCGGGGCCGGGCCAGTTTGATGAGGTGGATAAGAAGATTGGGTTTGTGGGGCAGAGGGCCAAGAGGCCGGGTGTGAAGGCCATGGTGAACGGGGAGTTGGGGATGAGGAAGGGGATGGAGCTGATGATGGGTGGGGGTGATCCTGGTGCTGTGTGCGGGGGCGCGCCGGCGTGGTGAGGCTCATCATGGAAGGAGGGGGAGGGTGTGGGAGGGTGAGGCGAAGAGATGTGGGCAATGGTTTGTCGTTTTGAATGGATAGCGGGCGTTGGAGGTAAAACTGATCTTCCTCTTTCTTTGCCGTCACATTTCTGTTATATGGTCTTCCTTCTGAGGATGTACCCAAGGTTATATTCTACTCATGATGAAGAGAAATGTTCTTATACCAAATGGGAAGCGTAACTGTCGTGATATATCGTGTCGCCACGACCCTTTCCAAACGAGCCCGCCGCGCCAACACCAGCCACATACCCAAAGATAAAGCACCCAAAACAACCAAAACAACCAAAACAGAGTAGCCCAAACAAACACCCCAAAAGTTTATACCGTCGCAACACAGGATTGGCGACCGCTAAGCATAGACAGCTTCCAGCCCCTTCCCGCCGGCCTGCACAACCAAGATACTCGCCTTGATGCCCACGGTAACCAGCTGCTCGGCCACGGCGCCGATCGTCTTCCTCAGGTCCGCACTACTTCCACCACCGCCAGCACTCCCTCCAACACTGCCACCAACATCCTGTCCATCCGCAGAAGAAGAAGAAGTAGCAGCAGCAAGCGCGTCTCCGAAGCGGGTATTCCGGCGGCCCACGACGACGACGTCGCCGGCGTTCTTGGGTCGCTGGCCGACCGTCTTCTGGGCGAGGACCACAAGCTCGGGGAGCGCCGACACAGGGGTGGCAGTGGAGAGTTCGACTTCGCTGAAGACGACGCGTGGGGATAGGTCCGAGGGAAGGGAGGCTTGCATGGTGGCAAAGAAGGCTGCATCTTGCTGGGTCTGGCGGGCGGCGGCGTCTTGGAGGGCGTTGGCGGTAGATTTAGGAGAGGGGATGGATGCGGAGGTGGAGGTGTCGTGGGAGGTGGTGGGTTCAGCGTTGGTGCTGGTGGCCGGCCAGGCAATGCGCACGATGGAGGCGGTGACTTGTTGGTTCTTGGCGAGTTGCAGGACGATTCGGAGGGCGACATGGTCGTCGGGCCCGCCGAGGAAGGGGAGGAAGATATGGTGGGATTTATTGGCGACGGGGAAGGTGGCGAACTCGGGCCGGTAGCTGCGGATGGACATGGCGCTCTTGGTCCGGTTTAGATCAGGTCGGTCCACAGGCTTGGTGATGCCGCCGAAGCCGTTGTCGATGAAGATGCCCGTGTTGCAGGTGCGAGCGGCTTGTTGCAGGGTCTGGCTAATAAATTCGAAGTGGGAGGTCGACCGGAACCGCTCACTTCCGCTCATGGCGATGGGAAGGGACACGTCTTCAGATGTGCTGCCGTATTCGCCCCAGGGGATGAGGGCGAAGTCGGAAGATACGTCGGATGCCTGAGACATGATCGTCTCAGCGTACGAGTCTGCGGGAACGACGGCGACCCGGCCCGAGACGGCAACGTCATGAAGCTGGGAAAAGGTCTTAAAGGCGTTGACCACAGGGTCGCGGAGAGAATAGGAATCATCGCCCTCGGTCAAGTGCATGACGGACGAGGTACGGTCGGTGAGTTCGATGACGCGCAGGCCATGAACCTCCAGCGGTCTCTTTCTAATCTGCACCTCCTTGCTTTGGGACGAGTCTTCGGGAGTGTCTGGGTGGGCTGACGCCGGCACGGTTTCAGGGCTGAGTAAGGTGATGAATGTAAACAGGCTCGGAAGACTGTCGAGGCGAAGGTGCACCATGAGGCGGCGAACCTGCGAGTCGGCGGACTTCTGCTGAGGTTGATCGGCTTCGGAGGGGTCGGTGGGATTTCCGTCCCAGTCAATCTCTCCTCGCCGCCACCTTTCGACCTTCTTCTGGTACCATGGCGGATACAACGCCTTGGTAAGAGGCGTGGTGGCGACGGTTGTGACCAAAGCCATGACGACAAACATGCTGAAAGTGGTCTCTGAAAGGATGCCCGCTTGAAGACCGATGTTCTGATGGCGTTAGCGAAAACCCCCCCCCACCCCATGGATACGACGGACATACCAGGACAATCAGCTCGACAAGACCCTTGCAGCTCATCAGGCAGCCTATGGTAAAGCTTTCCCGCCAAAGCAGTTTACTGGCACGGGCAGCCAGGGTGCCACCCGCAATCTTACCGACGAAGGCGCACGCGATGATGCCGATGACATAACCCCAGGTGATACCATCGTTCAGGAGACCCAAGTTGGTATTCAGGCCAGAGAGCGCAAAATAGAGGGGCAGGAACAGAACTGAGATCAAATCCTCAATCTTCTCGGTCAACTTGATGGCAAAGCCGCCGTCGTGGGGGCAGATCAGGCCGACCAAGAAGGCGCCGAAAATGGGATGGACACCAATAATGCCTGGAGAATCAGAACCAGAAACAACGGATAATATCAGATGGGGAGCGGACCCACCGGTAAACCAAGCCGAGGCAAGCACCATGAGCATGGTCAAGGCGACCATACCCTGGGTAGGGCCATTTTGCAGACTGCCGGTCCGCCTCAAGATCCAGATGAAAGGCGGTCGGACGACGAAGAACAAGAGTAGAGTCCAGCCGATGCAGCAGAGTAAGGCCCAGAGGGCAGCCAGGCCATTGCTGTTGTTGACCAGGGCGACACAGAGGGCAAGGAGGATCCAGCCGGTCACGTCGTTGCCAATGCCGGCGGCCAGAACGGTGACACCAACGTTGCAGCGCAGCAGGTTCAGCTCGCTGAGAATACGACAAAGAACGGGGAAAGCGGTGATGGCGAGTGCAGTGCCAATGAACAAACCAAAGACTCCAAAGCTGATGGGGTGCTCGACAATGCCAGCGTGAAACTGGTGGTAGATACCGTAAGCGATGGCGAAGCCGAGACCAAAGGGTAGAACCATGCCGGCCAGGCCAACACTAAGGGCAGCCTTCCAGTTCTGGGTGAACAAGCGCATGTCGACCTATTGATAGTCAGGCCCAAGCCACAACCGCGCGGAAGCCGGGTTGCTCACCTCGAGGGCGACCAGGAAGAGGAAGACCAACAAGCCCACCTCGGCCACATTCCGAAAGACGGGCATAGAATCAGTGGGGAAGATGGCTGTGATGGGTCAGCGGCCACGGCATCAACACAAACCACTCCGCCAGATACGTACTATCTTTAAAGCCCGGTATCCTCATCATCACCGAGGGCCCCAGCCAGGATGCCGCCGAGGACCTCGGCGATGACGCGGGGCTGGTTCAGCAGCCGGAGGGGGTCTGTCACCACCAGTCAGCCAAAGCCCGAACATCTCCAAGTTTCGAGTGAGGGAGGGAGCTCACAATGCAGCAGCTGGCAAAAAATGATGACGATGATAGCCTATCCATGTTGTTGGTGCTATTGTTAGCGTATTGGTCCCCGAAACGTGGTAGCCAGCCAGCCAGGCCGGGCCCGGGCCGAGACCGGGTTACATTCTTGGCCCCGAAACGAAACACAACGGCTATCCGGCACCGATTGATGGGTCCAGAAACATCTCAGGTCTGACAGGGCCGCCAATCGGGTTACTTACCTGGATGATGAACAGGGTAATTGGGTTTGACGGATTATATGCGATTGGATTAATACCCTCGAGGACGCCGGCCTGGGGAGGCGGTCCCGTGGAATTGGTCGCACCGCCGCCAGCCATCGAGTTGGTTCGGTACCCGTGTATGTACTTGTACTACAATAGTTAGGATGTCTGAGAAGGCTGAATGAGAGTTGATGTGCGTGCGAGCGTGATGATCTGAATGAGGAAGGACAAGTCGACGGTCAGACCAGGCCACAGATCCGACCACAAAGAAAGGGTGACAGAGGGCCTTTTAAGAAGGGCGAAGAGCTGTGGCCCATGGCAGCTTGGCAACAACCACGGTGAGGATCTGGGAGGGCGAGGTTGGGGGGTTATCCAAGCTTCCGGATGCTTCTCACTGCATTGCGCACATTCCTAGGCGACAATCGTAACCAATCTAGGCCTTCGGGTTCGCTCCTCAAACGGTCGGTAAAAGGTACCTTATCGGTCTGGAGCTGCAGTGCGTGGCTCAGTGGGTGCAATTCACACGTGATGGCGCAGCTAGGGTATTTCTGGGGTTGCCCATGCTCATGCGATGGCACGGAAACAAGCTTAACTGCTGGCGTGCTCGCTCGAGGCTCGCTCTGACTGGGTGGGATGCATCTTGAAACTGCCAAACGAGCGGCGCAGGTGAACGGAAGACCAGGGCGGACTGGATCTGGATGCCTGAAGGCGTTGGGGGCGTGCCCACCTGCTCCCCCGTAGCTTCCCAGTTTCTTTGTCGGCTGACTGGCTTGCCCAGCTCGCCGAGACGCGCCTTCCGCGTGGTAAATTGTTTCCGATTGTTCCCGGAAAGGAGTCGATATGCCAACAAAGAGGGGAAGGATTCGAAAGTGCACATCTCGACTAAAACTGGTGTTCAAAGTCTGCCGTTGACTGCCATTCCTGGTGCTATCTCCGTTGCGGCCTTGAGGACCTCGGGAGATGATCCCAGACCCCGCGGCTGCCAAGGCCAGGACCCTGGCCAACACCCGAATTCGATGACCTTGAAGACCCGACGGGATTGAAACCCAGGGAAACACGGACGGACACTCAGCTCCAAAGCCGGCAAGTGCCCGTTTCTCACGTCTGCATGCACACCAAACTACTTCGTACCTTTGGCGACCGTGTTGCACAGCATCGACACCAGCTGTCGGACAGTTCCGATAATGCGGTATTTTATTTTGATTGGGAGAAGAAAACATCCGCTGGAAGCCGGTGGCATGAATGATTGTCAGATGGAAGAGAGACCGCCTAGGTGGTACCTGTGTACCTTATCGAATCCCCACCCTTCCCGAACCCTCCAGCGGCCGGTCTAGGCCTTCAGCTCCTGACCTCAGGTAACAGAAACTTACCGAGCGTATCCTCGCCTGATCCTTCCTCCCACAACACCAACATTCTCCATCACGATTGGTTTCCTCGCCTCGCCATGTGGCGTTTGTTGGTTTTCCCCTCTTTGACCGTGACGCCTTTGCGCGTAGATTGTAGATACCTATGTCAGTCAACCACGAGCCGACTTCTATTCTACAGACTTACCTACGGACTTGTTAGTTCTAGGCTTTAAACTCTGAACAGCCATCATCGCCGTGTGCGGCTGAGGAGCCCCCCCAACACCAAGGCTGATGAAAATCGAGGCTTGCGATGCCTAAATTATTCGAAACGGCCCTGCCTTGGGCCAAGTTAAGCCCAGCTTCCCCCTACTTCGCCTTCGGAATGCGCATGTACCAAGTGCCGCACGGCGCAGCCAACCTGTCTCCCATGGTGCCGTTGGCCCATTGCTGAGCCCAAACTCTCGGTATCTCACTGATGCGGCCGCATCTGTGCCGTTCTTGTATGGAAGCGAATCAAAAATTACACTTCTCCCTTTTGAATATGAGCTCTCCCATCAGAAGGTCTCTCCGATCCCGGCAACCTGAGCAAGAGGTGGGCTGCGTCCCGGCCGACTGTGGCTTCTAACTCCGGTCCGGGGCCCGGACGTTGGCCCACCAGCTCAGCTCGGTGAAACCCCCAATACCTCTGCCGTCTTCCCGGGTCCTCATATGGACTCATACACGCACAATTCTGAAGGGGCCGCGAGCCGGGTCAAATGGCTTCAGAATCGACCCTCGTCTCATGCGATTGCGTGGGGTCGGGAAGTGAGAGGGACCAACTATGGTTGCCCGGGCTCGTTTAAGGCAGGGCATGGCCCTCCATCTACCGTCTAGAAGACTTTCGTGCTCATCTCTACCCCATTCAAGAACGAGTTCTATCCCAAGGATGAGCATTGATCCCTAGATGCAAGTCCATTGCGCTGTTCTCCAAACGTGACTGACAGACACTTGATGTCTCCAGACCAAAGTCTGGCTTACAACCCCTAACACCCTTTGTTCCTTTTCTCTTTTCTTTTATATACCACGCATCGTAAAGATGCGTGGCTTTTTTCTCTTGCCCTCGCCGTTGACGGCTCTCCTTGCCACTTCTCTCTTGTCTGGCCATGTTGAGGCAGGCTTCTGGAGTAAGAAGTCGCTGATGGGCTCGGGTTCCGAGTCCGGCTCGGGCGCAGGTTCAAGTACCCAGTCTGGCGCCGGAAAGTATAGCGCGGCCAACAACATGATGTTGAAGATGGGCGCCTCAACCATTGACACCCCTGGTGCCCAATGTACTTGGGAAGGTATGTCAAACACCAACCAGAGGGGGAAACCCACGCTAACGTTAGCACCAGACCTATCCTCAGAGCCCATCATCATCTACCCCCAAGCGGAAGCGAACCGCACCTACATCGCGTTGGGCATGCAATTATCCATCAACCTCACCTCGCTCGACCCCCTCGACATCATGGCATCGTCCAAACTCTACATCTCCTACATCCAGTCAGGCTTACAACCGAGATCGTCCGACAACCCCGTCATGATCTCCGACATCAACCCGCTGGTACCTTTCCAGATGTCGGGCCAGAGCACAAATCAGCCAGTGATGCTGGTCACGCTCCTCTACATCCAGCCGCACCCGCTGATCATCGAGGAAAAGTTCTCGCTAGCCTTCAGCGGAATGCAGATGGACGAGACCAAGCGGCAGAACTTCAATTTTGAGGACTTCCTCGACAGCGCAGCCATCACAAAACTACAGGCCACCACGTGGGTCGTGATCAACGGCACCAACAACGGAGTAGACGGGGGCATGGGAGGCGGAGCAGGCGCGACTCCAACTCCGCTGCCGACTCCGCTCCCCGGAAACGGCACCGCCGGCGGCAACGGGACCGCGGGTGGGGCTGTGGTAACCACTATTACCACCATCGACGCCAATGGCAACCCCATCCTCCTCACCTCCACGCTCCCTAGCACCCCGGGGGCGGGCACGCCCGGTGCCGGTGACGGTGCTGGCGGCGGAACGCCCACGGTAATAACCACCACCGACGCCAACGGTAACCCCGTCCTCATAACCTCCACGCCACCACCCAGCACCGCCGGCTCAGGCGGGTCCGGCGGCGGTGGCAGCGGCAGCGACGGCAGTTCAGGCCAATCCGGAGACAACGGCAATGGTGGCGGCGGCGGTGGAGGTTCCATGCAAACCATCTACACGACCGACGCGAACGGCAACCCCGTTATCCTGACCACCGCCGTGGGCGCTAATGACGGCGCCAGCGGCGGAACCCCCACGGTGATCACCACGACGGACGCAAACGGTAACCCCGTCCTGATCACCTCCACTCCCGTCGCGGGAGGCCCCGGCTCAGGCTCAGGCTCAGACGACGGCAGCGGCGGCGGCGGCGAGACAAACGGCGACCCCGTGATCGCAACCTCCGGCCTGCCCGGCGGCGGTGGCAGCGGCAGCGACGGCAGTTCAGGCCAATCCGGAGACAACGGCAATGGTGGCGGCGGCGGTGGAGGTTCCATGCAAACCATCTACACGACCGACGCGAACGGCAACCCCGTTATCCTGACCACCGCCGTGGGCGCTAATGACGGCGCCAGCGGCGGAACCCCCACGGTGATCACCACGACGGACGCAAACGGTAACCCCGTCCTGATCACCTCCACTCCCGTCGCGGGAGGCCCCGGCTCAGGCTCAGGCTCAGACGACGGCAGCGGCGGCGGCGGCGAGACAAACGGCGACCCCGTGATCGCAACCTCCGGCCTGCCCGGCGGCGGCGGCGGCGCAGGCACACCCGGCGCAGGCACACCCGGCGCGAGCACGCCCGGAGCCGCAGCCGGCACGCCCACCGTCATCACGACCACCGACGCAAACGGCAACCCGATCCTGTGACCCCCCACCATTTGCGGGCGCGGCGGCACGCCGGGAGCAACAGCAAGGACCAACAGGTTCCGGAAGGCGCTAACCACCATCATCAAGGAAGCCACCGTGACGGATGTCTGAGGAGCCCGGGCAGCATGTTCAATCGACCATCGCCTTCCTGTCGACCGTCATGGTGCCGTCGGAGGGGAGTTATGTTGGAGGAGGTGGTGCGACTGTTACGGCGACAGTGACGCCGATCAGGCGGGTGTGCCGAAGGTCACGACCCTTCCGGAGGAGGGTGGGGATGGAAATGGGGGTGGGGGGGAGGGGCAGAATGGGACGCCTACGCCGACGCCGGGGGCAAGTGGTGGTGGTAGTGGTGGTGGTGGTGGAGTTGAGAGTGGTGGAGCGGGGGGGAGTACTGCTACCCCTGTCCCTGGCGGCGCTGGAGGGGGAGGTGGGAGCGGGACGCCTGTTGAGAGTGGTGCCGGCCAGACGGCGACTCCGGTCCCTGGGGGGTCGCAGGGTGGTGGTGGTGGTGAGGGTGGCGATGGTTCCGACGGGGGAGGGGATGGTGGTGGCGGGGATGGGAGTGGTAGCGGAGGTAATGACGGCTCCGGCGGCGGCAGCTCTCAAGCCGGGGGAGCCGGTAGCACAGCTACTCCGGTACCTGGTGGCGGTTCTGGAGGTGGTGGTGGAGCCGGTAGCACCGCTACTCCGGTACCTGGTGGCGGTTCTGGAGGTGGCGGTTCTGGAGGCGGCTCCGGAGGTGACAGCTCCCAAACCGGGGGAGCTGGTAGCACAGCTACTCCGGTACCTGGTGGCGGTTCTGGAGGTGGTGGTGGATCCGGCGGTGAGAGTTCCCAGACTGGCGACACCGGTGGCCCAACCCCGACTCCAGGCCAGAGTCCCTGCAAAGCCTGCGGCGGCGGTGACGACGGCGGTTATGGCGGTGAAGGTGGTGATTCTAACGGCGGCGGCGGAGGCTCCGGTGGAGGCTCGGGCGGTGATGGTTCCCAGACCGGAAGTGCACCAACCCCAACGCCGGCGCCGGGTAATAGCCCCTGCGACATCTGCGGCGGCGGCGGCGGCGGTGGCGGTGCTGGTGGGGAGGGCTCGACCGGGCCCATCACATCAGGCACGCCAACCGGCCCTGGTGGTCCCATGGAGACTCTCACAAAACTGACAGTCCTCTACCCCATCCCCTGCCCGTGCTCCAAGAACGAGACGTCGACTCCAACTCCCGACCCCAGCGCCAAAACGATGCCCATCATAAACACTGGCGGAGGTGTGAAAGATGCGCCTCCGGGTGTCATCACGGCACTGGGGCTTGGTGGTGTCGCCATCATTTTCTTTGTTCTCTTGTGATAGACTAAAAAAAGGGAAAGGTAATGGGACGGTAGGGACAAGGCATAGATATCCTGGGTTAGTGAAACGGGGTGGTCGACTCTGAGTCGAGCATTGGGAGGCGGGCGTTTCAAAACGGAAGACTTGGCATTTTTTCTGTTTTTGGTTAGGTTTTTCTTCTTCAATTCGGCTCAGGTTGAGCAATTTGGTTTTGTTGTTATGGTTAATGTACTTTTAAGACAGGATGGGTGAGTTTGGAAAATACTTTTTGACAGTTTTTGTTTGTCCTTGTTTTGTAGTTTTCGACTGTCAGGGATGGATGACTGAGCGTACGTACGTACGAAATTTGACCTTTGGCTGTCTTGATTTTGGCCCAGGTTGTGATCCGTGCCTACCTAGGTAGGTAGGCAACCAAGCGTTCAGGTGGTCTTCTTCAGTCGCACGAACTATATGGGTAAAGCTTGTTGGAAATCTAATAGCGAGAGTATGGGGACTTGTCACCAGGGGTGCGAATGTACCGGGTGTAGAGGTACCTAACGCAAGTTACAGATACTTAGGGAAAGTCCTATACTAGGCGCTAGATATAGGCCTAGTAAGACCCCTTTTCGTAGACTATGACCACTGTGCCAGATATACAAAAATGGAGCCAGGGGGCTAGCAATAAGGAACGACCTGTAACCCGGGCCACACGCGCGCGTATACCAAGCTACGGGTTGGCTCAGTAGGCTCAGTGACTGAGCAGACTAAGCGGTTAGCTTGACGATACTCTCTCCATGTAGTCACTGTGTTCTTTGACCTCGCGCTCCCCGAGCTCCACATCGTCAAGGACTTCGTGGCGCGGCGAGGAATGATCTTGCGCCAGTCCTTGAGCTTCATGGGTGAGCTGTAACAGAGGTGGAATACCCACGTCCTGTTGGTTGGGTGGAAGGGGTGGCGTCGGCAACACGATGTTTATCATGGGGCGTTCCCGCTCGCAATCCGGATCGCGAGACGTGAAGTCAGGGGAGAAGTGAGCGTTGATCGGGCGAAACCTGTATAAATCCTCTGGGAAAATGATATTGTCTATCCGGAGGTCGGCGTTGGGGCCCGAAAATGGATTCGCCTCAGGGTCGGGTTTCCAAGCTTCTGAGCTATCAGGACTGACGGTGATGATATACGGGTCTACAGCGTTTGGGATCGCATCATTTGGTCCTGGACTGCCATCCAGGTGTGCTTGATATGCACCAGATCGGATCAGCTGTTGTAGGAACCCGTCCTCCTCTGCCGGAAAGCCGTCATATTGTTGCCGTACACCGATTTCGCTAAAATCTACATCGGCATCGGGGATTGTGGAGTGATCATCTGAGATTATAGCTTCGTCAAACCCCTGGTCCGCGTCCGCCATCTCGAGGTCTTCAGGGACGCTTATATCAGATGTTTCATCGGGATCGCCGGCCTTAAGCCCGTCGATGCTGTCGCCGAGGTCGACTGAATCGCTGTTGGCGTCTTGTCCGCTGTCGCCAGCTTCTTCATTTTGCAGGGAGGCAAGGCGTATGGTGAGCAGCATGAGAGTTTGCAAATGTCCAGCGATGTGTCGCGCCATCATTTCGGTGTCGTCCGAGGTCAGGTGCTTTTCCGTAATAATAGAGTCGTTCGAGCTGTCTGAATGATACTCGATTTCCCTGGATGGAGTTGAATCCCGCATTTTAGAAGTGGTCTTTGGCCTCTTATCGTTTTCCTGGTGAAGTTGCTTCTTTTGGCGTTTCTGCCCCGTGTCGGGCCCGGGGGGAACCTCCTCGACGGTGAAGCAGCATAAAGGGCACTCATTCCACGCCCTTGGACGTTCAATTTTGCTCTGACGAGCAACGGCTTGGAGCCTACTAGCGTCAAACATATCGTGGTGGGTCTCGGTGAGGTGAAGATGGAGCGCTTCTGGGCTTCTGTAAACGTCATGGCTGTCTTCGCAGACCGGGCACACCCAACCAGGGATCAGATACACCCTCTGGTGCCATCGTTTGCTGTGGCTCTCCATGTGGCTGAGCCACGGTCCGAAACTCGGATAGACTGGATGTCCGTCGGGGCATTCCTCCGAGATGCAGGGGTAAGGTTTGAGGTCGTCGTCAGTGTGCCGTCTGGATAGTTACGCCGTCAGTTGTTAGGGCCAGAGAGAAGAACAGATAGGTATCGTGGAACGGACCTCCACTCGCTTTCCGTAATTTCCCTCTTGTCCATAGGCCGGCCACACCACTCACAAGCCGCAATGTTTGAATCTTTGTGGAATGGCGCGGGTGGATAGTTGCCTTGGCTCACTTGAATTGAGGAAGTCCCTTTTCGTCGTTCAGTTGGGGCGCTGAGGTAGTCGGATCTACGCAGCGCCAGTCGCAACTGTTTGCTATTGATGGTGGAAAGGTCAGACTGGGAAGCCGCGTACGGGATTTTCCGGTCTCCTGGCGAGGTCTGTTTGTTCGTATTTCCAATTTCTGCCCCAGGGGTTTGATCAAGTGGACTCGGTTTCATGGTGAGCTCTTCAGCTTCACCAATTGTGGGCATCAGGGGCGACTTGGTGTATCGGCGTGACTGTAGTTTTCCTCCTCTGTGGCCCAGGTACAACATGGTGACAAACCTGTTGGTCATGGTTTTGGCGAGGTACTCACTCAACGAGTGGTGAGTGCTTGGGTAAAGGAGGTGCACTACACATCGAGAGGCGTCAGTGAAGCCCTTGAGGTCCAGGCCGCTAGCGAACTTCCGAGTTTTGATAACCATCTTTTCGCGCGATGTTTGACGAATTGTGACCCCGAGTCTGTTCAGCCGAGAAAGTGTCGCCTCCAAGGCGGCCAACGCGGCATCCTGGGTGCGCCGGTCCTCGCTGGCATCACTTCCGTCTTCTGAGTTTCCCCCTGTCGTGGGCTGCATAGGTGCCGAAACTTTACACCATTAGCTCCCCAACAATATTGTATTGTGAACCGTGGAAAAAGGTCAGCGTCAAATTACTCACGTTGGGTAAGGCTGCGACGGAGGATGTCCAGGAGGCGCGCGGTGAGGTCGACAATGTCGGGATAGTTTTCAAGCCGTTTATCCAAAGATTGACTTGGTCGAGCAAAAACTCCCAGGTGAGCGGCCCATATCGCGAAACGCTGTTGATATTCAATGAGCAGCTCGGCGACGCGGGACTGTTGGCTCCTAAACTCCGCAATGCGGGCATCGAAAAGAGCTTCACTCTCACAAGCTAGGTCATATAGAAGGTCGCTATCTTCGTCCCAAATGTCCATCTTGTCCATGGTTCCATCCTGTGGGCTTGTTGGGGCTATCCCCTCAGGTGCGATCACAGAATTCGCAGAAGTCGCAGGGCCCAGTCGTGGGCGCTGCGGGAGTTCAGTGGCCATATTACGCTTGTCCCAACTTAACGAGACAATACGGGACCCTCAATGTTCGTTGGGACTCGGGGTTGCGATATGTTGGGTTGGTCCGGGAAAGCGGAGATGGCGGGCAATTCGGTTCGTTGCTTCACCCCAACAGGAGAAAAGCTTGGCAAATTGAGGCATCCTGCAGTTTCTTGCAGACTCGCAGTGGGTGTCAGCATTTTTAGGTACCTAAGAATCTTGTGCAACTTCCCCTCATTTGCTCATAAATCTGCAATTGGCACTTGAGCCTTGTCTCGACCTTCCCGAGTCCCGATAACCCTCAAGATCGGAGAACACCTGCACGCGAATATACGCTCGACTGGACCTGTGCAGTGGTTACCTATGCGCTATATTATTGAATGCGGAGAATGGCGACTTCTTCAAGCCTTGGGGAAGCTCGTCGGCCAAAGAAAATCTCGTTTCGTTCCAACCTCCGTTGCAGACAGCGCCATCCCAGATTGTCTCTCTGGTGGACCCAGTGACAATCTTTCACAAGGTCTTCTCGAGTTTGAGCTCCGACGTGTCTTTTTGCTCAATGCTGTCTCCCGCGCGCTTTCAGATTCCGAGTTTGAAGAATGCGATACGAGACTAAAAGAACTATGCCATCTCCTGAATGGGCTTGTCGACCCTCGCTTCGCAACGAGGAGTGGCCTGGACTACCCGTGCCTTCGCGAATTGGTTGAATTCCTACAGGATTCAGACGAAACTTACGATCTCGCGAGCAGTTCAAATCCTTCGTTATTCAAACCCCCAGATGATGATTACCAGTTGAGCCGCGCCTTAAAACAGGTCACCGAACACAACGACTTCCTCACCCGAGCCCTCTCACTCCCCACTCGGGATCGGGAGTCGAGAAGCCGCCCAGCAAAGAGAGCCGAGAGGCAAAGAAAAAGGAGCTGGAAGGACTTGGAGATGCGCGATCGGGCCACCTCAACCCTGGGAGCTCTCTTTGACCATCTCAAGTGCGGACGGAATCATGAAATCATCTTGAAACTTTCCGAAGAACCGGAGAATGGAACCGTGTCATCCGAGCTGGATCTAATGTTGTCAACATGCCCGGACCGATGCGGGTGGTTGGAGGTGCACTGTGGTTCGATCCAATCGTACGTTCGCACTCCGTCTCCCCCTTCGAGATTCGAGAGCCGTTCACTGACTCATACGTGCGTTCTAGCCGGTGGGATGCTTCCATAGGCGCCATCCAGAATATATGCGCCGATATCAGCGAGAACACCGGTCAAGGCAAGGGCCTTGTCGTTCTCATTGAGCAATATGGCCTATTTGGCGCCTGGACCACGTCGCAGAGAGGGTCGCCGGCGCCACCCGACGAGACTCTCGAAAAGCTCATCTCTAATGGAGCCTTTGAGCAGCTCACTCTCGATACGCTGGCGAGCGGGTCCCCCGCAGTAAGGTACAAGCCACAGGAGAAACGAGCTCTGGCGGTTCGGCTCGGCTACTGTCTCATGGACTTTTTCGATAGCGATTTGAGCTCCAAACGCATCTACTTTCTCGGTGCTCCGAGCAAATCTTCCGGGAGCGAGACGCTCTACCTCTCGTTTGATTCTGGCTATTCAGCAACAGACGAATCACATATCTTTCGCGTTGGCCATCCTGCCCTGTTGTCATTTGCGAAGCTCCTTTTGGAGATAGAATTCGGTAAAATCATTGACCTCGAAGTCACTCGCCATTATGGCGCGACCAACCGAGCTACTTGGGCAGCTCTTTGCGAGATGGTCGATATGCTTGAGGAGGAACGCGACGATAGTTACGTACAAGCCATACGGGGCTGCCTCATGGTTCACAGCCAGATTTCAAAGGCGTTGCGGTTAAGCGGCACTGACAGCAAGACTGCTGAGCTTACGATACGAAAAGAGATTTACAGGGAGCTTGTTTGCAAACTGGAAGACGGTCTTGTTGAGTCCATTCCACGATACCAGCGGAAACGCCAGCGGTCTGAGTCTCCTGAGCCGATCACACGGAGGAAGTCCAACGCGAGGGCCACTAGAAGCTCCTGGGATACCGCTCTATCCGATCAGTCTCGCACTCTAGAACATCCGCCACAAGGATCACCCGCTTATACGTCACCTGGTGCGTGGACTAAATGTGTACCGGTGGAAGCCGTCAACCCCATACCAATTCCACGTACCCGGCGCCCTTGGATACCATTGCCAAAGTCCACTGGTCTGTTTGACGACTACACGCCTGACAATGTGCTCCCCGATGTGTAAGTGGAAAATATTCACCGGGGGGCTCAGAGCCCAGCCCTACGTGCCACCCGACTCCATCAGGGCTACTAACTGTGGACTTTACTCTTGTTGTAGCGCCGCGCATGCCGACAGCTTCATCAACCATCATCGAAATTTCTACGACAATCTCATTCAAAATACTCCCGATATACCTCGTATCAAAGTGGCAGTCCTAGATACCGGCCTCGATGTGGGTCATCCATCCATCCAGGCCAACGTGGAGCAAATCAAAGATGTGAAAAGCTGGTTACCCGCCAACAGCGCAACAACTGGAAGCGACCCCTGCGGCCATGGTACCCATGTGATCGGCCTCTTGTTAGACGTCGCACCTGACTGCGATGTATACGTCGCCCAAATTGCCGACAACAAGAATCCTCTCTCCCTTCACCAAATCGCCAAAGCCGTCGACCATGCCGTGGCCGTGTGGCAAGTAGACATCATTTCCATGTCCTTCGGCGTCCTCGACGAAAGAGAGGACGGGTGTGATGAGCTCCGAGCGGCCCTTCTTCGAGCCCACGCTGCGAAGGTCTTGATGTTCGCCGCCGCCTCGAACACCGGAGGCGTCGACCCGGCTCCGGCATTTCCCGCGCGACTTAGCAACGTGTTTTGCATCTACTCCGGTGATGGGAAAGGAAATTATTCCAGGACGAGCCCGTCTGCAGGGAGTCGTGATGTCAACTTTTTAACCTTGGGTGAGGGCGTGGAGTCTGCTTGGCCGCGGCATCTCTCGTCGTACCCCTGGACCAAGCGCAAATCGGGGACATCCTTCGCGACGCCGATTGCAGCGGGGATGGTGGCAGTCTTGCTCTTGTACGCGTGCCAGAACTTGCCGCCGGATAAGGCGGAGGGTTTCAAAGAATACGACAGAATGAAGAGCTGGCTGCTTCACGTATCGAACGAAAGGGCCGGGTATAACGTGTTGTCACTTAGCGACTTTGTTGGGCGGCCATCCGAGGAGAGGCGGCTTTTAATGACCAGCATTCTCGAAGGGAGACCGTGGAAAAGGTGAATCGGACGTTTTGTACCTAGCAATAGCCCTTCATATAAAGCCACTTCATCCAAAGCCACCAGCCACCCTTCTACTGGGGACTAACACACACTATCTCCTCATCACCTTCAACTACAGCCACACCATCATCTCCATCCACCCACACCTCCTCACAAGCCCCCTCATCAACCTCAAACAACACCTCCCCCTTCTCACCCCCAACATCACCATCATACAACGCACCTTTCGTATACTCAGCCTGCCCAACCACCTCCCCCGTCCCGCGCCGCACCACAATCTTCCTCAACCCAAACGCGAACACAAAGTCCGACTCCCCCTCAAACGCGCCCTCCTCCCCACGCTGCCCCTCCACCCTCACCTCCGGGCCCAAACCCACCGGCACCCCACCCACCAACGCCCCATCCACCTCCAACCCGACCTCCACCCCGCGCGCCCTCACCCGCTCCGTCCGGACGCTCGCCCCACGCACCACCTTCACCGCCGTAACCATATACAGATGCTTGCGAAAGCGGCAGCGCCGGAGGAAATCCAGCGCGGCGGGCGAGGCGGCGAGCACGGCGCGGAGGAACTGAGGGCTGGGGGTGAAGGCGCGGGTCTCGGTGCGAGCGAACCGGAAGGTCTGCAGGGTGGAGGCGGAGTGTGTGGTGCCGAGGTCAAGGCCCAGGCCGAGGATGGAGGATAGGAATTGCGTCCACAGGCCGTAGCGCCCCTGGGTGAGGTCCGTGGTTGACCAGGTGGTGTTGGTTTGGGTGGTGGGTGGGAAGAGGGTGGATGGGGCGGGGCGGGGGCTGGACGGGCCATTAAGGGCGTCGGCGGGGTGGGAGGGCGAGAGGATCAGGTTGCCGAGTTGCAGGGGGCCGGACGGGTGGTAGTCCCAGGTTGGGGGGAAGAAGTAGGTCTTGCGGTGGTTGGCCATGGTGGTGGTTCGGTGTTGCTGGTGGTGGTTGTGGCTTTTGGGGTGGTGGTCACTTAGGCAGGGGGTGGGGTTACGTTTGTGATATTGGCCCTGGGCCCCGAGTTGGATGGGTACCTAGGTACGTACTTAGGTAGTTCAACCTGTGTCGCCGTGTACCAGCCCGGGCTGGCAACTACGTTCATAAGAAGCTTGGGCGGAGAGCGATATCGAGAGAGGAGGCCTTGGTATTGTAGTAAGTCCGGTAAACATGAGTGACGGCTATCCATAAGTACCTAGGTGGTCTCGGCAGATACCTAAAGGTACCGCTGGTTTCATGCCAGGCTCTGACCAGATTCCGCGCTCGCTGAGCTTCCTCAGGTTAAGATAGTCGGCGAAGGAATACGAAGGTAACGCTCTTCCTGGCGCTGACGGGAACTTCTCTGGATTTCGCGGCCTTGTTGCCGTAATGACTGGCTCACAATAACCATGTAAATCTCCTTTCCTTGACTCACCTCGACTCCCATCGGAACATGGAACCCTCGGGGTTCTCGGGGCGCCCGTGCCCTGTTGGGCTGAAATAAGCCGAGAAACCTTCACCCCCGCGGTTGGCCTGTGCACGACCGCCAAGAACCGCCGTCAAACATTCGGCTGCGGCTCTGTGCCTCCTCTTGCCGGTCATCCACCATCGAGACTTCCCACCATTTCCCCCACCTGGCTCGGTCAACAACACTACACGTGAAAACACACACACCGCGCGAGGAAAAAGGGCCGCTTGTTGAATCACCCGCATCGACATCATCATTTATCTCTCATGACTCACAGCCCGATCCTGCCGCATCATCTCTTCTGGCGCGATAAATAGCCCCCGGTGGATTCCGACGTTCTAACTCCTTCCTGACGATTCCAACATCCGAACTCTTCGACACCCCAGCTCCCCCAACCTTTCTCCTGACGCCCGTGCTGCTTGCGCTGCGACCGCCCTTATATATTCCAACCGACGTCAGCCCCCCCATCGCCGCCTACGGCCAAGATGATGCCCAATCCACACGTTTACGGCCACCACCAATACCCCCAGGCCGATTCGGCCTGGATGCACCAGCAGACGTCGCACCAACACCACGCTCAGGCTGCCGCCGCCGCCGCCAATGTCGCCCAGCAGCAGCACTACAACCGCATCGCCAGCGCCCACAACTCCGCTGGCGTCCTGGCTCAGGCCCATGCCCAGGAGAGCACCCTCGAGTCGTCTGTCTCCGAAGACAACCGTCGGACGCTGCAGTACATTGCCGACCTGCTGAACGAGAACACGCGCGAGGGCGCGCTCTTGGAGCTTAGCAAGAAACGAGAGCAGGTTCCCGAGCTGGCCTTGATTCTGTGGCACTCATTCGGTACGGCATGCCCGGGTTTCGCCTGCCACCCTCGGCTGTAGCGCGTCCTGTGTTTGCTAACATGGCCATGTAGGTGTCATGACGTCGCTGTTGCAAGAAATAATCAGCGTTTACAACCTCCTAAGCCCGTCGCAGCTCACCGCGGCTGCCTCTAACAGAGTTTGCAATGCGCTCGCCCTTCTCCAATGCGTCGCATCCCACAACGAGACCCGCACTCTCTTCTTGACTGGTACGGGGCCGGAACCAAATCGATCCCAGCGTCGGGTTGCTGACAAGAACAGCGCACATCCCTCTGTATCTATACCCCTTTCTCAACACGACATCCAAGTCGCGCCCATTCGAATATCTCCGATTGACCTCGCTCGGCGTGATTGGCGCGCTGGTTAAGAACGACTCGTCTGAGGTCATCAACTTCCTCTTGACCACCGAGATTATCCCGCTATGCCTCCGGATCATGGAGACGGGCTCCGAGCTCAGCAAGACGGTGGCCATCTTCATCGTCCAGAAGATCCTGCTCGACGACAACGGCCTTAACTACATTTGCGCCACCTATGAGCGGTTCTATGCCGTGGGTACGGTCCTCAGCAACATGGTTGCTCAGTTGGTAGAGCAGCAGACTGCCAGGCTGTTGAAGCATGTGGTTAGGTGCTTTCTCAGGTGACCCCGCCCATTCCGCTCTACCACCTTTTGCACGAGACTGACATTCGCCCTCTGTAGGCTTAGCGACAACGCCCGTGCGGCGTGAAGCCTTTCGACAATGCCTCCCCCAACCACTCCGCGACCAAACCTTCTCAGCTGTTCTGCGCGATGACGCGGCTACCAAACGCTGTCTCGCCCAACTGCTGATAAATTTGGCAGAGAATGCTATGGAGCCAACCGTCGGCCAGCTCGGACTCTGAAAGGCAGGCTCCACCAGGAACGCCACCGCCGGTGGTCTCTATATAACAGCAACACTAATAGCACGACACACGACAGCTCCCCAAATCCTACCGCTACGCGGCCAGTTCCGCTCGGCTATGGCCCACAACAACTGAGATCCCATGTCCGAATAATGCACAGAGATTGGGAGGCATCGTCGCTTTTCTTTCCTACACCAAGGCCGGCGGGACGAAGGACGGGTCAAACAGAAAGACGGGTAGGCATCGTATGCCTGGGGTAGGAAAACGGGTTATCGGGCGGGGCGGGGAGGGAAGGGAAAACTTCTTTGGAAGGTGGGCGGGTGGGAAAAAGCCTTATCATGGATGTTTATGAAGGAAGGAAATATTCACATTTCAAGCGGCGGGGACGGGGATGGGGACGGGGGGCGGGGGACACAGGCGTTATGGAAAGGGCGTTTCATCTTCTTACTATTATCCTTACGTTCCACATATCACCTTACCCTCCTTTCCGCCGGTTTACTCGGGGTTTCTTCTCGGTTTCTGAGAGGGGTTGTCGGGGGTTCATCACGGTGGCATGGACTTGCATAGCAAAAGGATGGGTCGGTTGTTTTTTGTCATTGTGCTGCGGCTTTCTTGGCTTCGGGCACACCATCAGAGCGAACACAAAAGCGAAGAGCCGCGGTCTTGGCTTCGTCTCGCTGTTCATCATGCGAGTGGTTGGCGGTGGCGGCGATGTTTGTTGTTGTACGATGTAGGGATATATTAGGTATAGTGGTAAAATATGGGGCTGGCATGAGATGCCGGGACTGTAACTGTGAAGTCGATGCTGTCAACAACTCCACAGTCTTCTGGCCAGGTCTTGCCGTGGCACACTTCGTTGCTGCCCCTACTTACCTCGCCGTTGAAATTCTGGTGGCACTCTCTTGGGCACGCTCGCTCCGTTGGGGAACCTGCTGCTAAAACGTAACCCCAGAACGTCATGGACGTAGGTCTAGATTGGGGTTACTACTGCAGCCAAGGTACCTTAGATGGGTAGGTACTGGGATAGGGTTCACATTACAACAGCCTCAACTAAGTCGCATTTTCGGTGTTAAAAAACAGCGATTTTTTGGCAAAGTTCCCGCACATGACCCGAACACGACCTGGGCCAAGCGAGACACTCTGCAGCTCAAAGCAAGATCGCGGTGGGATCGGTTTACCCAATGAACACGTCGGCTGACCCTCCTTCTTCGTCCAGACGTCATTTCAACTCCCCAGCCGTGGACTGGGATGCCATTCGTTTTGCGAAGCCCATCGCAATTCCCCTTCAATATCCAATGGCCAGCCTCAGTTGGTAGTCTCACCACCATGTAAATTTTAGAGACATACAAAAGAACTCGGCCAAGCCACTTTGGTCAACGATGACGACCGACTGCCTTGTGATTGGCCTGATCGGCATTGTTCCAGGGGGAGATGCGGCGAGCGGCTTGGGCCGGGTTGTGGCCGCTGCAAGCGAGTTTCCCTCCCAGGTGAAAAGACTGGCAGTGACTGGACCATCACCCGGCACCTCAGAAGCTTACACAGTAGTATTGGATTGCCGAGACCGAGGTGGTATGTGGTGGTTGGTGGCCTGTGAACCTGGCATTAGTAGGAAACGAAGATGTTAGTCGGAGATGGCTCCGGAATAAAAAGCGAATGCGACCCGCCTCTCAAGCGCGCCTGCAGGCTGTCATAAGAGGAAGGCTCCCCCGATAGGCGCTTCAAGCTCTTGCCCCTTTCGACGTCGCTTCCCAGTTCCTGCCTGGCTTCCCCGCCGCTTCAACTTTGAAGATTCGAGCTTCCCAGATCGGGCTCAGCTTGCGGGGAATCCCTGCCGACTGCCACGACAACATCACAACCCGGTGGTCACAGGGTTAAAAGCGTGTCATCCCCGGGGGTGTATAAGTGCAGCTCCTCGTCGACAACCACCAACGCGTCCCCCCGCAACTCCGTCACTCGGAGCAAGGCAAAACAAGATGCTGTTCCAACACCAACGCCGGGGGGTGGCAGCTCCGAAGAGGGCCCTCGTTGCCACCATCTCTGCCGTCTCGCTTTTCATCCTCGCGTTGTTCGCCCTCGCCCAGCTTAGCTCAACTCCGACCGAGGGGAAGTTTGCTGCGAGATTCAAAAATGCCGAGCACGCAGACAACCCGTTCCTTTCTAAATCGAGGGCCACTGCCACCGGCGACAAGTATCTCATTGGGGTGGGCAAGGCCGATATCACAGGCCCGGTGGTTGAGATCAACTTCGCTGGCTATGCCAACACGGAGCAGATCGGCTCTGGCTTGAGGCAGCGCATTTACGCCCGTTCCTTCATTATCGGTGAAGTCGGCACAAAAAACCGATTTGTCTACCTCATTCTCGACGCCATGTGCGGTGATACTGCAGTGCGCAATGGTATCCTTGAAGGGCTAGCTGCCATGGGATCCGGCTACTCCATGTACGGGCAGTCGAACGTTGCTGTTACCGGCACGCACTCACACAGCGGACCCGGTGGCTGGTTCAACTACCTGTTGCCGCAGATTACCAGCCTCGGATTCGACCACCAGGGTTACCAGGCACTTGTTGACGGTGCCCTGCTATCGATCAAGAGAGCGCATGAGTCGCTCCAGGAGGTGAGTGGGATCCTCGCGTTGACCTACGGATCTATTTCGCTGACTGCCGTAGGGCTACCTCGACTTTGGCACCACCCGCATCTCAGAGGCCAACATCAACCGGAGCCCGTACTCATATCTCGCTAACCCCGAGTCTGAGCGCGTGCAGTACACAGACGATGTCGACAAGACGCTGACCCTGCTGCGGTTTCAGAGAGCTTCCGACAGCAAGAACATTGGCGTTCTAACCTGGTTTCCTGTTCACCCAACGTCTATGCTCGGCAACAACACCCACGTTACCGGCGATAACAAGGGTCTCGCAGCGTACCTTTTTGAGCAGTCGGTCAAGGGGAACGATCAAGCCGCCGACGGATTTGTGGCTGGCTTCTCCCAAGCGAATGTGGGCGACACGACCCCGAACATCCTGGGCGCTTGGTGCGAAGACGGCTCCGGCCAAGAGTGCGATTTCCAGACCAGCACTTGCGCCGACGGCAAATCGCAGTCGTGCCATGGCAGAGGGCCGTTTTTCCGGAAGCCCGATCTCGGCGTATCTAGCTGCTTCGATATCGCCTCGAAGCAGTTCTCGGGGGCTAAGGGGCTTTATGTAAGTCCTTTTCAAGACCGTGTTGAGCTGTGTAGCTGATTTTCTCAGGACTCCTTTGACTCCGAGTCAACAGCCGTTGTGGGTTCAAGCGTCAGATCGTTCCACTACTTTCAAGACATGCAGTACTACAGCTTTCCCTTGGACAATGGCACTGTAGTGCAGACGTGCCCAGCTGCTCTTGGATACTCGTTCGCCGCAGGAACCTCCGATTGGCCTGGCGCTTTCGACTTCACTCAAGGTGACGAGGGAGCGCCCAACAACCCTCTATGGCAGGTCGTGTCGGGCCTGCTCCGTGTCCCCAGCGCCGAGCAGAAAAAGTGCCAAGGGCAAAAGCCGATTCTCCTCGACGTCGGGGAGATGAGCCTTCCCTACGCGTGGTCTGCCAACATCGTCGATGTTCAATCTTTCCGCGTGGGCCAGTTTATCATCGTCGTCTCCCCGTCCGAAGCGAGTACCATGGCTGGCCGGCGTTGGCGCAACGCCGTCAAGGCTGCCGCGTCGGAGGCATCCATCACCGGTGACCACGAGCCCTTCGTCGTCCTTGGCGGCCCGGCCAACTCGTATGCTCATTACGTCACCACACCCGAGGAGTACAACGTACAGCGATACGAAGGTGCGAGCACTCTGTACGGACCATGGGAGCTACCTGCGTACATCAACTTGACCCTTCGCGGCCTGCCGTATCTCGATTCGGCTTCCTCAGGTAGCCCGCCGCCCGGGCCCACGCCGCCAGACAACCGCGAGAAGAGCCTCAGCTTTATCACCGGCGTAGTATTAGACGCGACCCCTCCCGGAAAGAGTTTCGGTGCAGTCATAAGCCAGCCAGCAGCCTCGTCCGCCCGCGGCTCGGTGGTAAGTGCCACTTTTGTTGGTGCTAACCCGCGGAATAACCTCCGTCTTGAAGGCACCTTTGCAGCGGTTGAGAAGCTGGGCAGTGACGGCAACACGTGGACGCAGGTTTTGAGTGATAATGACTGGCGGCTGGTGTACAGCTGGAAGCGCACCAACTTTGTTCTGGGCTACAGCGAAGTGACCATCACCTGGGAGACGGGCGATGAGGACGCGGCCGGCACGTACCGGATCAAGTATTATGGCGACTCGAAGCCGCTGGTTGGGAATATCAAGGCGTTTACAGGGACGACCGAGACCTTTAAGCTGACGTAGGTTCATATTGGGCTGTTGTTCGCCGGAGGAAGGTTAATGTAATGACTGATGAATGTATTTTGGATATCTAGCTCTGGTACATACTCTACTTGAACAATATAGATTTTGCTTCGTCTCCTGGGTAGCATTATGTATTTTTATGCCACCTAAATTCGTGATACAAGACCGACTACCCGGACTAACCCCTATTTCTCGATACTTCGTGCGACGATCTGAGTTACTGGTGGATACTAACACTCCAATAGGGTATGGGCCGAATGCCGGTTATGGGCTGGGATGGTATCAAAGTAACTTCCTTAACTCTTAACCTAATTATACTCAACCACGACCCCGCTCAAAAACCCTCACCCCAAACTTCTACACCTCATCAACCACCAGCTTTGGCCGCCTGTTCCCACCCCCTCCCTCCTCCTCCTCTTCCTCCTCTTTCCATTTCTCAGAGAGCACCACCAGGTCGGCATCCGCTCCGGCCTCGAGAGAGCCTTTGACACCCGCGACACCGAGCATGGATGCGGGCGTGGAGGTCACGGCGCTGAGGGCTTGGGGGATGGTGGCGCCGGTGTGGGTGAGGAAGTTGGAGATGCAGTCGATTAGGGTGATGGAGCTGGGGTGGGGGTTAGTGGGTTGTTGTTATTGGGGGTTGGTTTGGGGGTGGGTGGGTGGGTTGGGGAGGTAGGGGGGAGGGGGGAGGTGAGGAGAGGAGGTGAGGAGGGAAGGTGAGGAGGGAAGGTGAAAAAAGTGAGGGGGAAAGGTTAGAAGAGTGGGCAAGGAAAAGGGGTAAGAAACGGAGGCGATGTAAATAAGGCAAAGTAAAAACGAGAAGAGACCGACTAACCTCCCCGCAATAACCCCCGTCCCCTCCAGCTCCAGCACGCTGCCACGCTTGACAATGTAGTGCTCGCCCTCGCCGTTAGTCCACTCATACCGCCCGTCCGGCAATCCCACCATATGCATCGCATCCGTCACCAGCACCAGGCCCCACCGGGTGCGCCCCGCCACGAGATTCTCGACCGTCGCCGGGTGCCAGGTGGATGCCGTCACGCGATGAGGCCGAAGTAGGGTCTCTTTTGCGGCTGCGATTGGGGGGTTTGCTGTTGGGGCTGGGGTGCTGGCTCCGTCGCGCCCAGCACGCCAAAGATGCCCGGGGTCGCGGTGGTGCAGCGGGCGCATTGCGTTAAAGAGGTAGGGTAATCATGAGTCGCGCCGGCCGAGACGGCGGCTGAGGCTTCTTCGTAGGTGGCTTCTGAGTGCCCGATCGAGACGAGGATGCCCCGTGCGGTGAGCTCCGGGATTAGGTTGGTCATGGCGCCGAGCTCGGGGGCCACGGTTATCATCTTGATGGGGATCTCGGAGGGGGGTGATGTTGAGGTTGTGGGTGTGGTGGTACCGGTAGGGGTGGAACTGGATGATGGAGAGGAGGGTTGGAAGGAGGAGGGAGTGACGTTCGCAGCGCCGTACATGTCCTCGAGGTCGGCGAGGGATGAGGCAACGCGCAAGACGGAGCGGTTGTGCACACCGTTTTTGGTCGGGTTCAGAAAAGGTCCCTCGACATGAGCCCCGAGCGACTCGGCGCCGTCGTCGGCACGGCGAGAGGAGCCTGAGGGTCCAAGGAACGGCAGGACCTGGAGAGTCAATACTGGCATGCCGGTATGGGTAAGAGCGGGCTAACCTTCTTGTAGAGATGGCTAGTTTGACTCGTCACGGTGGGGATGTACGAGGTAACTCCTGTCTGAACTAGCCTTTTGTTCAAGCTTCGCAGTTGCTTGCCGTACTGCGTCATGTCGTCGGCGAGGGTAGAGAAGTTGAAGCCATACGCCCCGTTCAACTGGCACTCAATGAAACCCGGCGACACGATGCGGCCACCGAGGTCAATAACCTCGTCGGGCATGGTGAGCTCATCGTAGAAGGCCGACTGGCTGCGGATAATCTTGCCTGTGGTTGAGCTAACCCAGACATCACCCCATACCAGGTCATCGCCACGGACGAGACGGCAGTTGGTCCAGTTTGGTGATGGCGAGTTAGGCGGGGAGTAAGCTGAGCGGGACCGCCGAGGGGCATGGTGTAAGTGGTGGCGCCCGGTGGATGGGTTATTGAAAGAGATCAAGTCACTGATTCAGAGGGCTCTGCTTAAGGAGCGGTAGGGCATCAGGTGGCCCGGGGGTTTAGCTGTGGGACGCCATAGTATACTGGAAGCAGCAGAAGGAGAGGCAAGCCAGTTCAAATATTAAGCGGATACTGGACAGTAACAGAAACTACGAGGGGCCTAGGATACTGCGATGGACGTGCTTCGCCCGATGGATCCCGCAGTGGTACCGATCATGGGCCGCTATCTGGAACGCGCCACCTGTGCTACTGGAACGTCCGGAACCTAGGACCTAATCCGGATTTACCTTATCTGAGTCCGTCTACGGCCCCGTGATCTGGGGCGTTGGTAAGCTCATTACAGTCCCATGGGCGTCACCAGTCTTCGAAGCCAGTCCGCTTCAATGGAAGATGCCCGTGGTCTCCGCCAGTTCCGGCATTCGCTGGGGGCATCCTAGGCAGAGCGGGGCGTTTGACTCGTGGATGGCATCTCAGGGTGTCTCCAGTCACCTCAGGAAGGAGGCCGTTCTGGTGGTGTGTGGTGTGTGGTGTGTGGTGGGTGAGTTGTAACCAACACAGTCGCACTGTGCGAGGAAGGGAATGTGAGGATGACTCGGCGACGCAACAATGGAAGAGGCGAAGGAGGTTGGGAGGCTGGAGGGTACCTGCTTGGTGGATATTGCAGCCGCCGAGTAGCAGATTGAACATTCCAAACCCTTGGGTCGGCGGCGCGGCTGTCGACGGCGGATCCCAAGCTAGTGGCTTGGCTTTGTTGATGAGGTTGATGGAGTTCGAGATGGATGATGGATGGAGCTTCGAATGGTGGTGCTTGATGGAGATGGAGCTTCTGGACCGGGAAGGGAAGGCATGTAACGTTGCCGGATTGGGGCTAACCAAAACGTTGTATCGTGCCTGCCGATTTGGGCTAGCGCGATTCCATCCTTTTGTGCCTCGTCTGAGCTTGGGGACTTCCAGGCACCATTGCCATTCGCCAACGCACCAGCGCACGCACCTCCCACCTCCTCCCTTGTTGTGTTGTGTTGTGTTGTGCACAACCCTCGGCCAACAACGGGCAAACAAACTGACAATTGCCCAGTGAGAGTGTTGGTGCCACTCAGCTGTTCCGGGGGATTTCGAGGGACTTTTCACATGCTGCCCATCCCATCCATGCGCCAGGACGGGTAGGGTATGCATCGCTGACTTCCCCAACCTTGAACGACCTAACCAACCCTGGAAACACAGCATTGTTACACCTGGCTGTTAGTGGCTGTTGGTGTTTCCACTTATCCCGGTACCGCTGGGAAAACCATTATGCCGCCGTCGCGTGAGCACTGCCTTCAAACCCACCGCACCGATTGCCGCAGCCCAAGATGACCAACTTGGACGCCGACCTGGACCCACTATGGCAGGATCTCGACTGGTATGTGATGCGGTGTTCTTTATTTCTTTGCTCTTTACCGCGACGCCTCATGTGGCTTGACTGGTCTCGTCGTGAGGTTGCAGCTCTGCTTCTTGGGCCACTCTCACTCATACGACGCGGCCAGTTCAGCCACAGTGCTGCTGCACGTCAGTCAGTCGGGAAATGAGATGATATACCTAGAATGCAGATACGATGTACGATGTACATACAATACTCAATGGCTACTAACACTCCAATAGGGCCATCGGCCAGATGCTGATTATGGGATGGGATGGAACCGAAGTAACCCCCCAAATCCGTAACCTGATCGAGCAACACCATGTTGGCTCTATCCTGCTCACTGCAAAGAACCTCAAATGTAATCACAATCGGGCTGGTTATAGTACTAGAGGGATCATACACTGACTACCCTGTAGCTGCACAACAAACAGCAAAACTCGTCCAGGAGCTGCAAACCATCGCCCACCAGGCCGGCCATCCCCACCCCTTGTTGATTGCCTTGGATCAAGAAAATGGTGGCGTCAACAGTCTCTTCGATGAGGATTACATTTGCCAATTCCCGAGCTCTATGGGCCAGGCTGCCGCTAGCAGCGCGGAGCTGTCTTACAAGATCGCAAAGGCCACTGCCACCGAAATATCCGCTGTTGGCGTAAATCTGATCCTTGGTCCGGTGCTGGATGTCCTGACCAACGCGCGCTATCAACCATTGGGTGTCCGGGCCATTGGCGACGACCCTCAAGAAGTCTCGCAGTACGGCATTGCGTCTATGAACGGGTACAAGGACGCCGGCCTTGCCACTTGCGGGAAGCATTTCCCTTCGTACGGCAACTTGGACTTCCTCGGTTCGAGTTTGGATATTCCCATCATTACTCAGACTCTTGAGGAGCTCTCCCTGAGTGCCCTCGTCCCGTTCCGTAACGCTATCGCCACGGGAAACCTGGACGCCATGTTTATCGGCGGTTGTGGCATTACCAACCCGTCCATGAGTGTCAACCACGCTTGCCTGTCAGAGCAGGTGATTGATGACTTGCTCAGAAACGAGCTCGGCTTTCAGGGTGTTGCCATATCAGAATGCCTCGAAATGGAAGGTCTCAGAAACGAGATTGGTGTCAGGACAGGCACTGTCATGGCAGTGGAAGCCGGCTGCGACTTGGTGCTCTTGTGCCGCGCCTACGACGTGCAGCTCGAGGCTATTGCTGGCCTCAAACTGGGAGTGGAGAACGAGCTCATCACGAAGGAGCGCATCTACACGTCCCTCAAGCGCATATTCCGAATGAAGAAGTCGTGCACCTCGTGGCAGAAGGCATTGAACCCCCCCGGTATCAGTTTGCTGTCAAAGATCCACCCCGGCCATCTTGCGCTCTCGCTGAAGGCCTACGATGATTCCATCGCTGTCATACGGGATAACGAAAAGCTTCTTCCATTGCCTCCAACTCGATGCACCAGGAGGAAGAACTGCTCTTGCTTACACCTCTGGTGAAACCGCTTCCAGCTTCCTCCATGACAAAGGCACTCCTGGAAAAAAACAAACTCGAGGCGACCACGAATCACGACAAATGGGTGCACCGCGATCGAGGGGCCATTATGAGCGGCGAGGGCGTGTTTAGAGAACTGGGGAGGTCACTCGCTCGTGCCAGGCATGGCAAACTACTGCATACCTCGTACACTGCGAATGGTGTTCGGCCAGGTTAGTCTCCCCACGATTTCAGTGTGAGTTCAACTGTGCTAATCTGTGGGTAGTACATGAAAACTTGATCAACCGAGCCTCATGCATCATCATCGTGACGGCAGATGCTAACCGGAACTTGTACCAGGCAGGCTTCACCAAGCACGTCTCCATGATGTGCTCGATGCTGAGGGCGAGCGGCCAGAAAAAGTCGCTCATAGTGGTCGCTGTAAGCTCGCCCTACGACTTCGCCATGGATAAGTCGGTCAGTGCCTACATCTGTACCTTTGACTTTACCGAAATGGCCATGGGCCGCCCTGGTACGAGTCTTGTGCGGCAAGTTCAAACCCCAGGGGACGCTGCCGGGCACCTTGAGAAAGAGTAGAAAGGCGCTGAAGTCCCGGCAACACTGGCTCGTTGAGGCCTATAACCCCAACCGGGACTCCCGGGGGTTAGACGATCTCCTGCAAACCCTAGCTAGAGCCAGCGCCCCAGCGCTCCAATTCTTACAGACGACGAGGGCACACGCCTTTGAGCTACTCAACTCCAACATCGAGGAAGCTCACTTCGTGGTGCGCAACAGCAGCACCCAAGCCCTCTACGGCTTTTGCGCGACCTACTTCGTCAAGGCACGGCATCATGGGCGCGCTCTTCGTCGACTCGGCCAAGCGGAACGTCTCCATCGGCAGATCCTTCCAGCGCCGAGCCCTGCGTGGCCTCTCTCAGAAGCCGGGCATCAAGAAGATGCAGCTCGGCATGTCCTTTCCGGGTGTCTTCCTCGGCATTCCCGCCGATGATAGCGCCGGCCTCAAGCAGTGGTTTGCCAACGGCGGGTGGGACCTCCAGTTCCCGCGCCGCCTCGCCAACATGACCATCCCTTCCCTCAGCAATTGGGGTGCCCCGGAGGGTCTACTCCAGAATATACAGCGCGCCGGCATCAGCTTCGATCTCATCCACGGTCCGGACAACGCCGACAGCGTGCTCGGGCACATCGTGGCCCACGCCAATGCGGAGGTGATGGAGCTATACCGTTTCGCGCTACAAGAGAGCAAGAGCTGCGGTGTCGTCCGAGCCAAGGGCCACGGCGAGAGCCTGTTGGGCACTGTGATCATCTGCAGCCCCGGGAGCCCGTTGGCCGGGTTCATCCCCCCCCTGCAGCCGTCGTCGGTGGAGGACGACGAGCCGACCGGGGGCATCGTGGCGCCCCTTGTTGCATCATCGGCGCCCCAGGCGAGTCTGGTCCTCCAAGGCCTAGCGCTGATGGGGCTGCGGCAGAATAAGGCGCACAAGGCGCTCAGGAGCGTGCTGAGCTGGGTGCAGGACGAGGCGCATGAGCCGTTGTTGGCCATGGGGTTTGAGGTGGTGCAGGCTTTTGAGGAGTTTACGAACCCCCCTGATAACGTGAGTGTTTTTTATCCTGTGGTGTTTGGATGAGACTGACGAGTTATAGTGGCAGGATATAGCGTAGGTTTGAGGGAAGATACCAGTTTGATGAACGTCTGGGACTTTGGGTTATTGTGCTTCTTGCTTCAATTTTCTCAACATGACCTCTTAAATTATTGCGGTTCGCTTATGGTGACCATGGCCATGTTTTCTAACTGACTTGTTGTCTCGACACTGGGTACATGCCCCTATCTCTACACAGTAAGTCCCTGATGCATCTGGAGCCCCCGCATCAACGGCGCCAAGGCCGTGAATAAGGCTGGGAGAGGCCCCTTCTCCGCTGTTGTCAATCTTTGTGATCGCAAGAGAGGTTCAAAATGTTGTTATTGAAAATATGACTATTATAAAACCGACCTAAACAAGTTGAGCAGAAGACCAAAAATCCAAGATGTGCGGAAACATAGAGTTAAGCCCGCCGGGAAGTGTTCCGGACTACCTACGTACATAAGTAACCGCAACCCCTTAACGAATGCCTCTTCTTCAGGACCTCACCCTCTCTGGGGAAGTCTTGGCAAAGGATCCAGCCCCGTGCGCACAGTTGGGGAAACCTGGCCATGACCTGTGAGGTTGCACTAAAGCGACGGGAAGCGGGCACTGGCGGGCAATCGGAAGCGCCTCGCAGTTGAGGAAAGTTGGCTCGAGGGTTGGATAATGGAGAAAAGTCTTGGCGATTGAGATTCTCCACCTCCCACTTTCAATCTCCCAGTCAGATCAAATCAGTCCATGTGCCGCGCACGACCCGCGCATGCGACCGCCGAGCACCAAAGAACCACGAACCACGAGTCACGAGTCACGAACCCACAGCATCGAAGCTTATCTCGAAGGTCATGCTCAACAGATATCCATCTACCCTTTGTCGGATACCCTGATTCGAGCATTGCGCGGTCTGCATGAACTGCCCAGAAGCTCCCCCGGAGCGGCAATGAGATGGCCGGCTTCAATTCCATGCCGGTGCTGTCGTCCGGTGCCACTCCGGGCCCGGACACCATGGCCATGACGGCTTCGGACATGGACGCCTTCAATAGCGCCACTATGGCCTTTGACGAGTCGCTGTTGTAAGCAACTCCCCGATTGTCACACCACCTTACCTTCCAGATAGCAGCTGGAACACAACGAACAAAAGCCCAGTCACTGACTCTCACCCTGCCCCC